TACAAAGTAAAGAGAACATTCTACATAGATTTACATTTCCGCCTATTGTAGGTATGTGTTCAAATGACTGTATCTCCAATTTACATTAAGATATTGACATTCAGTCTTTTCTATAATGCAGAGGGATGTCCTGACCTCAGGTATGCCAAGTTTTAAACCGATCAGACCTTCCATTGTGAATCTACATGAGTTGTTATGCCTCAACCCCCAGACGGCCAGGCTTTATTTTTAGTTTGGGGTGTCTAACTTTATATATCAATTTCACCACTTTTGCAGTAAAATATTTTTATACAACAATCCATTTCATGTATGGGAGGCCTTAGAGATGAGGAAAAAGTAAGTTGTGTTTTGTCCTAACTCCGGGAGCGGTATCTCGAAAACTAAAGCCCTTTGAGAGGGAAGATCGGGGGCGGGGCTTAAGGAAAACTCAATTGTGCATGCTCTGTAAATAAAAGGTCCCGGATGATCCGGGTACTTTCTGAATCTACAGTCGCCCCATTTCGACTTCATACTTTCAAGGAAGCCAATGTTAGCCAGTTAGCTAGCGACGTATATCATTATGAGAAATGAAAGCCAACATGCCTACACAGCTCAGTTTACAGGTTTTTAAAAACACTGCAGTCTTACTCAAAGCTGCTTACATAAATGTGTTATAAAAGCATGTTTTAACCGAAAACAGCAACAACAAAAAAACATGTAAGTGTTTGCGAACATGAGAGAAAAGACGTTGAATTTGGCCTACATTTCCAGGTTTTCGCTACATTACATTATTACATGTTACTTGTTAGACGCTTTTATCCAAAGCGACTTACATACTCAATACTGTGGGCAATTCCCACAGGAGCAATTTGGGGTTAAGTGTCTTGCCCAGGGACACAACGACATGCTGACTGCAGTGGGGCTTGAACCTGTGCTCCCCTGATCAGATTCACAACGCACTAACCCACTGCGCCACATGCCTCCACACTACTTCCTCACCTTATCGGTCTCATATTTTACACCAGCAAGAAATGTAACTGTTTACATATATTTATTTGAGTTACCAATAGATACATTGGTTAGGCTCATAGGTTAGGCTACATGTCTTCAAATACAAGTTTAGCCCCAGCTGTTTGCCTAAAAATACAATTGTAAGGTGTTTAGCTTAGTCAAAAAACAATAATTAAATTAAAACAAAAAATAATTAACAATAATAATATTGGACCATTTTTTTCTCTCTTCACACATTCCTCTGCTCAGTTATTCATATATAAACAAATGTACATACTACCCTTTTATATATTTACACACATGTATAATGTTATGGCACTGAGGGAGTTTCTGTTATTGAGGTACCGTTCAACCATGTTAAATGTGACCAAGGACATGTTTAATGCTAGTTGTGCCTTGGGTATCTTTGACCGTAATAAAGATAGTGCAAGTGATTTTCAATAACTTTATTAAAACCATATTGTGACACAGACCAGAACACTTACAGGGCACACAACAGAAATAAATACCATTATGTGTACAGCGCTCATTGTCAAACAGGCTTATTGCGGCTGGCTTATGATTTATGTCTTCCAGAAAGAGAGGGCATGCTATGTCATTGGACAGAGATACCACCAGTAGCTGGGCTCAGTGTGCTAATCACCCTGCCTGCTTTTGACTGTGGAGTGCAATTCCTGAAACACTTTAACTGCTCTGATATACACCCAGGCTGCATCTCAATCTGAAACAGCCAGCTCCCGTGCAGCTTTGGTTAGAGGGCGTTACGCTGCTTTAATCAAGGTCCATTTCAGGCTTGTTTTCTGTGGATTCTGAGGTGCCTGTTTTCTCAGCTTTTCCCTTGTCTGCGGGTGCATCCTGGGGTTTCTCCTGTCCGTTGACAGGCCCGTTCTCCTCTGCTGGAGTCTCGTCCTTGGGAAGCTCTACCTTGGGTTTGGGCTTGGTCACAATGGGGTTACAAGTGGAGAAGAGCTCCTGGAAATTACACAAAAAGGAAATATGTTATAATGGGTTTATTAAAAGAAGAAGTTGTGAGGTCCATTTCATAATAAAAAAGGGCACAAGAATAATTCATGTGTTGGGTTATTTTGTAATGCTAATATATGTGATGAAAAAAAAAAATGGTAGATTTCTGTAACACCATGAGCATGACGGAGTAATAAACAACCAAATGAATTGGATCTGCAAACATTAAACCGATTACTTCCCAGCTAGTTAATTAATCACCAGCTATTTCGATTAGATGTTTCTTATTTTAATATCCTGCGTTCTACTCAGCCATGTTTCTTAGCACTGTGGTGTTATGATGGAGGAGACACTCACCCTTATTTTAGCTTGAATGTCTTTTACTTTGACGGCGGGATCCATTGTCAGGTTTTGTTTGGTTTGCTGGTTCATGGAGCTATTCATCCACATCATTGCCTCGCTGGCCATTTTGTCCACCTTCGTGACATTTGCATCATCTATATGGTCATACTGCTCTTCCTGGAAATCCAAAGGGAAATAACAAAAGCTGTGTTACTATTTACCGCGGGAATCATTACTTTTATTTTAATAAACTACCAGCATCCTCATTTAAAAAGCTCGTAGAATGACCTTCATTTTGCAGGCTTCCACAAATTTCATGTACTGCTGGATTTGTTTTCCCAGTTCCTCGAATGCTTTAGGTCTCACTTCAGCCTCTGTGTACCTCTCCTGGATGGGCTGGCCAAGTTTCTATAGCAAACACATTATACATGTCAGGTAAATCATTCAAAATGTCAAACACACAATGGAGCTATTATTATTATTATTATAAAATGCTCAATTATAGCAATCATTACCTTTAACTCAGTCAGTTTGTCAATGTACACTTGTTTGGATTGGTCCTCTCCATCTTCATACAGCCAGTTTTCAGTATTCCCCAGCTTTATTGACAGGGCATCTCGGTCCTGAAAATAAAAAATAAATGTATTATATTAACAAAGGAAGCACAATCTGTAAGAAATGTATATAAAGAGGAACACTCTAAGATCAGCCAGGAGGCAACTTTGTACTCACAGATTCACTGACAAACTTCTCCAGCACCCCGTGTAATTTGTCCCTCATCTCGTACACATACTCCTCCACATAGTTCTTGGCATCATTCCTCTCCTTCTCCAGCTTGTCCTGCATGATCATCTTACCCTGAGGAGAATCCAAACAGCAACTGTAACGCGTGCTACTTCAAAATAGATCAAGTAATTAAGGATGGGTGGATTAAGTCATGTGCACCGTGTATGTGATGAATGAACATCTAGTTACCTCATTTTCAACAAAAAGATTGAGCATGTCATCAGCTAGCTGCCACTGTGGATTGTTTTCAATCGGAAGATCAAGAACTTTTGTTTTGACTTTGGGCTTTTTGGCTTGTGGGGGCTGGTCGGCCTTCTTCTCGCCTTTGCCTTCCTCTGGGGTGATCTGATAAGGAAAAGAGAAAAGGCATTGAGATTAAAAACAATGAAATCAAAGTTACATTTGTCTTTACAATGTGTCATTCATTGAAACGTTGTAATTGCATTATATTGTAACATATTGTGTTTCAAATGTCCCAGTTATATTCATGACAATGATTAATGTTATGTTCTCAAACTGAATGTATTGTGAACTATTGGATTGAATTGTTTTCTACAGGTAAAGACAATATCAGAACAGATCTTGCTTGTCAGAATTTTTTTTCAGACATATTACCTCCATCTCCTCGTTCTCACGTGGCGTCTTCTCTTCTGCTTCTTTCTGACCGTCTCCCTTCTGCTCCTCTTCCTCCGTCTGCATCTTGTTCTGCTGAGGAGTCAAAACAACAGAAATATGTTGGTTTTGTCTCGTACACAAACTTATCTGAAGCTGGATGTAAAAGGAGATTTGTTGTTTTTTACCTCTCCATCTTTCTCAGTGGCCTGTTCGGTGTCCATGGGTTCCTCCCCCTCCTCACACTTCATAACTTCAACCAGGGAGGCACTGGAGACACTGAAGATGCCATGGATGTTCACACGCACTTTGACTTTCACCTTGGAGCTCTCCCCAGAAGCCTGTGGCACAACCTTTTGGATCAGGAACTTACCTGGAAGAGAAAAAACAGAATAATAAATAAACAAAAAATAGTCGTGCCAAACAGCTTTAAGCCCTCTGCTGGTCTTGGTAGTCTTGGGAGGCAAGGTCAGTAACAACACAAATATTTTCTCAACAGTTTGTGGAATAACTAGCGCTAAAAGAATTCAGGTCCACTTGTCAGGCATACAGAAATATGACATCATTTAGAGTCCTAAAGAGAGTCCTCACTTAGGAAGCTGTAGCTGCTTACCAATAGTGGGGTCTGGGTAGGGGAGGCTATTAGCAGCGTTGTAGTAAGCCTCCAAGGTAAAAGGCTCTTTCCGGTAGAAGGTGAGCACTTTGGAGAAAGGGGCTGCGTGGTTCATAGGGAATACCTCGCAATCACTGTAACAAACAAACATTTCATAATAATGATTACATGAGGTCATTAAGGCTAGAGACAAAAAAGTAATAGATGTAATATTTGTCTTTATACCTTAGACCTTCCTCTGCAGCAGAGTGCCACTTCAAGGAGATGGGATAGGTAACCACATCTGTGATGGAGAACTCACGCACTTTGAAGGCAGGTGACAGAATGGCACACTGTGGAGAGAACCAGGGTTTCAATAAGAGATGCAGTCATAATGAAAAATGTTAACCTGAAAACTCAAATTTGTCCTTTTACATAAACAGATGCTCATTCAAGCACTAAAGGTTTTGATATCCTTTAGTTTCATTTAGCCACCTTTTTAAAGACCCCTTAAAGAAATCCTGCTTTGGTTGATTACTGCCGTATCTTATGACATAAAACAAAAATGTTTAGATTGCTAAATGTTTGTATTAACCACAGACCTTATGTAAGGGAATTAATCATAAACCCCTTCAACTTTGAGATGAGAGAAGCGGAAGTGCCGAGTCATTTCCTGGTTTTAAGATTGCAGCATAGCATACCATCTGGTTCTAGGTCTACCCCTTGGTCTCTTCCCCAGACCAAGGGGTAGACCTAGAACCAGATGGAGGGATTATATCTCTTCGCTGGCCTGGGAGCGCCTTGGGATCCCCCAGTCAGAGCTGGTTGATGTGGCCAGGGAAAAGAAAGTTTGGGGCTCTCTGCTGGAACTGCTACCTCCGCGACCCAACCACGGATAAGCGGGAGAAGATGGATGGATGGATGGAGCATAGCATACCTGCAGGGCACATCCTCTGGCCACAGCTTCGTCAGCATTCAGTGTGGTGCTCAGCTCCTTTCCAAAGAATTTGCTGATTCTCTCTTTGACAGCTGGGATCCTGGAAGCTCCCCCCACGATCTCTACCGCATAGATGTCTTCCCTTTTCAGTTCTTGAGGAACAAAACACACATGTCATCACACAAACTAGAAGCGAGCAAGTTCTATAGCGGCATCAATAAAAAAAGACAGGTTTAATAAAGTTAAACACTACTGAGGAAAATAATACTCACTGGTTTGTTCCAGCAGAGACTGCAGCGGAGCCTCAACTCGGGCAAAAACATCAGCGGCCATCTCTTCAAACTGACCTCTTTGTGCAGGAAAGAAAGGTGAATATGAGTTTAAATGCACATTTAAAAAAATAAACCTAGTATATAAGAACCATGGATGATAAAAGCAAACGTTAATTCTTATTGGTCTACCTGTTCATTTTTCCAGAGACATCAATGTCGTTCATGAAGCACTCGATGTTAAGCGGCAGATCAGAGCAGTTGGCGCTCATCACTCTCTTCAGTTTTTCACACTCCTGGTAAAGTCTCACCAGAGCCCTGGGCTTTGTCCTGGCATCAATCTTGTACTTCTTGGCAAATTCCTCGCAGAAATACTTCACCAACACCTCATCGAAGTCCTTTCCTCCCAACTCTGGGTCACAAGCTGTAGCAAGGACCTGAAAGAGAAGGAAAGAGGTTAAGAGAGAGTTCAAGGAATGAAACAAAGCCTCTCGTAGACTGAAAAGAAATGCAGACATACAGATTTAAGTCCATACCTTGACTTTGCCCTTGTTGAAGGCGCACAATGATGTCTGGTATCCACAATGGCCCAGATCGACAAACACCACATTCCTGGGCTTCTCCTCGGGGGCAGGGAGATCTTGTTTATAGATGCCATATGCCAACGCAACTGAGAGGAAAATAGTTGGATAATTAAAAACTTAAACTTTCACTCGAATCAACATCAAAGTTTGCATTTTGGCAGATGCAGTCAACAATCACTAACATGCACATCCTCTCCCAAGCTGCCATAAAAAAGTGGGTACAGACCTGCAGTGGTCTCATTCATGAGCCTCAGGCAGTTGAGACCAGCAATCTGAGCAGCATCTACAACTGATCTCCTCTCAACATCAGTGTAGTAGCAGGGAACCTGGTGAAAACAGAAGAGCATATGAAAAAGATAGTTTTAGCTTAAAGATGTTTTCAATGAACCCGTCTGATAAGACCTAAAGTCAGGCTGAAGTTACTCAATTATAAATCAAACATATTTCCTTTTTTTACGCGTCAGTACGAGCAGGAGAGCACTTTTTTTACAACATACATGTCCATTTTTCGAGATACTTACAGATACAACACAGTCAGCCACAGGCTTCTTGAGAGCTTGCTCTGCAGTCTCCTTCAGCTTAGTCAGCAGCATGGCGGTGACCTGCTCAATGCTGAACACCTTCTCTTCCTCCATGTACATCACCTTGAAAAATATCAGATATGAGCATGTTACATCGCTCTAGATCAGGCACGTGCACACAGACATCAAAGTGGGCTTGAGCCCCTGCCCTTTTTCCAATGAATGAATATATATCTACTGCTGTTTGCAGTTTCCCTTTGCAAATATATATTGATTGAATACAAAATAAAATATCAGGTCGGGAGATTAGACTGAAGTTCTGATGCTTTCTCTCCCCTCCCTCCCTCCACGTCTCGCGCACTGCAGTGCGGACAGTCATCGGCAGTCGCTTCAGACAGACAGGTATAGCAGCACCTCCCACTTTACAGTCCCATGTTATGCCGGCTTTTCTTGGCTTGTTTGGAGGTAAGTGGTGATGAACAAATTACTAAACTGCCAGTGCCTCGAGCTTACAGCTAATTAGCCAAAAGACAAAACAAATATAGTTAACTAAGGTAGGCTACTAGCTAATGGATAAGTTAGCTCAATTCTACTAGTTTGTTGTCTGCTCTTGTGCGTAGTGAATACTAAAGAAGACCATTGTCTCTGTGTTAACTGATTCTTTTGTAGAATTATGTTGAGTATTAAACAATTGCTTGAGTGTGAGGGTATTAAAATAAATTGGTCAGTAAGTCAGAGATGTGCAACTATATTTAACTTTTTGTTTTAACATTTTTTATTATAAATGATTATGGGAAGTGCCCTTTTTCTCACTTGAGCTCCCGCCCCCCAAAATGTCTGAGCACGTCCCTGCTCGAGATGATAACTACTATGTCGACTCAGAAATAAGCATTCTGTACAGAAAGAGACTGAATGATAATAGGCAGATTAGATAGAACCATCCACCACAAGTGGAGAAAAAACTACAACCTCTAGTGAAAGAAATCTTAAGATAAATCACATTTCCAAACGTGCATTTAATTTAGCTTAGTTTTTTTAATGTTGTTTTCATCTACAAAATTCTCTCAGTCATTCTTGACAGTATCCCAGCTAGCAATGACTCAGACATACATTTACAACTTCCAAGGAGCGCACTTGTGCTGTGCCCCCAGTGTAATAAAATGTTGCTAATCTACAACCATTGAATGCTTGTTGGTCTTAAAACTAAAATAATGGGCGCCAAACGAAAACTGCAGACCAAAAAAATTATATTTAACTAATTATGATATTATGGTGAAATATAAATACATTTTAGTCCCCGATTGTGTGACCGAAACATTTCTTCTGTGGGCCATATTCATAGATTACCAGGGGTAATCAGCCTTTTTTGCATTACATCCGCTCTTATGAGTTACTGTTAAACACGGTTATTGTTATAAACCACAAATGTGAATAAACACGCTTCTCCTTGCCGGCATGGTGATCATTATCTTGGTTGGTTGGCCAAGTCATATGCTTAGACTGAATATTGAATTTGACGAGGATAATTGGGGAGAATATCTTGTGTTTCTGAGCTGTTACTAAACATTCATATCCCTTGTCATTTCCTTACCTTGATGCCAGTTGTTCCTGTGGGCATCTGTGCAATATCATAGACCAAACTGTTTTTGAGGTTGTGCACAACGGGATCCGAAAACGCCCTTCCATGAAACCTCTTGAACCCTTGTACTGTGTTCTTGCAGTTTGAGACGACCTATACAAAAATAAAATATGATAAACAACTCTTCTATTAAACACCTGAGAAAAAAAGAGTTCACTGGTTGGACTGTTTTATCTAGATACAAATGTGTTGGGGGCACATGGAAACTAGAACAAGTAGGAAGAACGGGAAGAAACTTCATAACATTAGAACAAGAAACAAAATAATTTATTAGACTCACAAAAATAATTATAAGGACATTTTCAACATTTTGGCTGGTGTGCCATTATTAGCTTCATAACATAAACACTTGCTCTATGTGTTGCTCATTCTGATACGAGCTGTGCACCTGCCCAGGGTTGTAAGTGCTCATAACGCACTATGAAAAAACAGGTCCCTCTTTAGTCAGGGTAGTAGTGAGGTGTCCAGTGGCCTGCCGGTGTATCATGTCAACTCACCTGGCTCTTTGCAGCAGCACCGATCGCTCGATTCCGGGGTCCAAAAGAAACACATGCTCTTAAGAAAAAAGAAAACAGTTAAATTATATTTTCCTCCACAGTTTTACAGCAATGACGCTCTCTACAGGGTAATGTAACAAAATGGTAGTTTATTGCGATGGTGTCGATGTTTCATAAACATATTTGTTAACGTTAGCAAATATATGATATGTACTGCTTTAACGATAATCTGTTGATTATGGGTCTGAAAAATGGGTACAACAGATAGATAAAGCCGTTTGACAGCCACGATCCGGCCTCCTCCCATCATGCGCCCATTCATGCCTGCAGTAAAAAGAAATGCATCACCTGACTTAGCAGGTCAATAATGCGTTTTTATTTTATTTCGACGACATTAGTGTAGTAGGAGACTTCAAAAACCATCTAATCATATGAAGTAGTATGGGGATTTCTTTATGCTCACAATGATTCAGCTAGCATTAGCTTTAGCACTCACATGCCGTTTCCTGTTGTGAAACCTCTTAGCATGCTAACTAGCTAGGTAGCTACGTTAGCTTCATTCAATATTATGATGAACTAAAGTGGAATTCGTTCACACTCTGTACCTGCTATGAGTACATACAATACAAAACAAATCACAAACAATAGCGTATCTAATCGTACTCACGGTGTACACCGGTCGCTATATTCATTAGCGACAGTTTCAATCCCACCGGCTCTGGCTACCGCTACATAGCAGTTCAAGTACCCGACGTCAAACCCGACAACCGACATTTTCTCTGGCTAACTAAACAGTGTAGAGTACAGTAATTACAAGAAAGAACAGGTATATAATTCAGTGCTGGAAAGGTGACAGCAGCAGCTACAGTAGGGTTTCAGTCAGCAGTGATACACCCTTGTTCTTGTTCCATGAAGCTGTGTAGCAGCATGCGGCGCCGGCTGATGCGTGAGAACGTTCAGGAATCTTCTCTGTCCCACCGACCAATAGCATCACACTGCAGAGCACCACACGCTGCTGTCGGGCGCCCCCCACAGGCGAGGAAAGGTATTACTGCAGCAGGAAACTCGTGTTAAACTGCTATACTCTGTACATTTCATCCAATGATTTCATCTAATACTTTATGGTGGGAGGGTTACTTAAAAAATGTAATCCGTTACAATAACTAATTATCTGTAACAACCTTAACCAAAGATTCAAAGGTGTTATTGTCATACGCACTGCTACTGTGTAGTTTTGACGATGAAGTCCAGACAGAACAGTTTGTTGCCAGGGTGATGGGAGTCTTTGATGATCCTTTGGGTCTTCTTCCTGAGGCGCTGTGTGTAGAGGTCCTCCATGGAGGGCAGCTCTGTCCTGGAGGACTTCTACACACAGCGGCTCAGCAACCTGATCTAAGTATCACAATACAATATCTACACTAGTATTTCTGATTCAGTTACAACTGTTGGTGGCTCCCCAACCAACATGCAGTTGCTTTCTGTACTTTAACATAAAAGCCCCTGCAGTTACAAATATAACTGCACATACTTATTGTCAAGTGTATTTAGTGTGCTTTGATTTGTTCGCAGCAACTCAATATTAAAGTACTAATTAAACAAACAACTTTCATTTCAGTTGGCTAGCTGTCATTTATCATTAACAAAATCATAATCAACTACTCTCTATTATTGATTACTCTGTTATCTTTAGTCTTTAACTACTCAGAAAAATAACTGAAAAATGCTCGTTACCATCTCCCAAATTAAAAAGCTGTATTTCTTCGTCGTCTTGATTCCATTAGCAGTAAAGTACCTAACAATATTCCATTGACACAAATATATATAACAGAAAAGCAGCAAATCCTTGAATGCAGATGTAGAAAAAAAACTGTGCATTTTACTTGATAAATAATTATCAAAACTGTAGGCTCCTAATTTTTCTGTTGATTGACCCATCACTTCAGTACTAAATGTGCAATGTAATGTGGAAAAAGTAGCATTGATTTAACAAACACAATAAATAAACATTAATACAATCACAAATAGATGACTGAATGAAACCAATCAAGACTCATTGCACATATTTGTCACCTTTATTGGTCAAACGTACAGAGTTAGAATTAATAACATAGGGCAGCTTTCAGAAAGGTTTGAATTAGTTTATTCGTCATTCTCATTCTCAAAGTCTGCGTGGACCTTCCTCTTGCTGGCCTCATGGCTGCTGTTGCCCCATGTGTATGTCAGGTACAGGGCTATCATTGCTGCAAAAACAAGTTAATAAAACATATTAGCAACAGGAAATTCTCTACCTGTTATTCATTTCAGCCACATCTTGCTTTGCAGTAAGTGTAAATCCTATAACAATACAGCGATAGCCCTCGATAACACCACTACTCTGGCTTGCAGAGAACTCACAATGTCATAGTTTCTTAAGTAGCCCTTTTGTTTACTCCACTTCTATCCAACCCTAATTCACTAAATTTGTAGATATAGTTCTCACATTGTACCTTGTGCATTACATTTTGATTTAGAAACGGCAATGCAAGTGCAATTACTTAGCACACTTATAACGTAAACAGTACCCTATATTTACATTTACTCACTTCGAATTTGGTATATATATTTTTTATTCAATAGAGATACACTGTTATGTAGTATGTATTTACCATTTGGCCTGTTTTCTACCATTGGGTGCTTTGAAAAATCCCAAATTGGGTTCAATAAAGTATATCTAATCTAATTATATTGTACTATCATAGTATGTAAAATAAAGCTGTAGCAACCAAAGAAATAAGTGAGGTTAATCTAATCAAAACCCTTTGGCGATTTAAGGCTGGCAAACATAGGGAGTGTCAGCAATTTCAATAGACATATAGAAATGTGTTGTACTGGCTCTCCATTTGAAATCATGATATATAGAATAGACCAATCTGAAACTCACGGGGGGCAACTTTGAAGACAGACGCCCTGAACCGTCTCCACACGTTTGGGATTCCCTTGGAGAAGTAGTTGGGGAAAGCCCTCTGCTCAAAGGGCGAAAGGCTATATGTGACCACATGCCTGATCCTCGCCAATTCACCAAAGTGGCCTCCCATGTTTGCTAGAAGGCTGATCTAAAAAGACAAGACATTAACGTTTTTTTTTTTTTTAAAAAGCCACCAACATCAAACATGTTTTCAAGATTGCAGGAAATGGAAGCAGTGAAACGTAGAAATTGTATCCTGACACTCACACAGCTGTGTTATTCTTAAGAGGCAAACATAATTGTTCAACGTGTAGCAATTCAACCAACCTTTGCTTTTAATGCATCTATTTCATTTATAAAAAAATATACAATCTAATGATAATTCTAGCAATAAATATGAGCTGTCCCTACCCAAAGGCTCTGACTTTGTTTGACATTGATTTGAATAATAACCAAGGGGTAAACTAGTCCATCTCCTTGTATGAATATCTGGATATTGTGTTACCATAAATGTATGCAGTAATAACCTAGTACATCACGTAGCAGATTATCTAAATACACGATTGCAAAAACAGAAAACAACAATCTTACAGGACATCAAAACACCCTGATTAGCAAGTGTTAGCATAGTCAACTAGCAACAGTGGCCAACAGTTAGCTGCTAAGGTCCTTGAAACGCTTATGTTACTGCCACGTTAAAGAGCTTGTTTAACCGAGGCCAAAATAAAGGTCCATCCTAGTACATTAAAGCAGATATATCTTACAGGAATCGGCAATTCGAGTTAAAGGTAGGAAATCTACACTGTTAATAATGTGACATTGAAGCTTACCGTCCTGTTTCTCAACACAGTGTCCTAATAAAGTTGTTCTGTTCTTCCGTTTTATTCAGGCCTTGCTTAGCTCCCAACACGTCAGCACCACCTGGCGGACTGGAGTTTAACTACACTCAAGCTGTAGGTAGAAATGGACTCTTCCTTCCTGAATGAGGGGGTGTATTTATGGACAAAAAGGAAATATAAACATTCAAATAGTATCAGTAAATATAGACATTTAAATAGTATCAGTAAATCCGAGCTCAAATGTTTAATCTAGGGAAAGTCAACTAATCAAACGTGGCAATCAAGGTGGGACAGAGAAGGGAAAAGGAGACAAATTCAAAAGTGCCCGTTTCTATGAGGAATGTCAATAAGAGAAGTCAGTGGTGGGTAGACGCAGAGAGAGACGACGAAGAATGATCTGAGGAAATCAGCATTGCAGGAATTAACAGTAAAAATATTAGCGAGCATGGGTAAGAGGGCACAGGTCAATTACTGTCTGCTTTCTTAATGGACAGAGGGATTTGTAACCCTCCTATTGCCTTCGTTCCCCCCTTTACTTTGGTGTTCACGGTCAAATTTGACCGGTCCTGTTTGAACTGCTATACATTAACACAAAAACGATTCATCATCACCAAATTTCATTTAACACCCTTTCAAACTGTAAATATTGTATCAGACTACTGGTATACATGAAAAACTGCAGTAAATATACAAAGAATAGACACTGAACATGTATTGCGTGTGCCAGTGTGATCCATGTCGGGGTATGGGCACATAAGAGCGTAATGAAATGTAAAGAAAGTGGTGATCAGCAATTGTATATGTTCAAATGTCTACTGTGAAGGATATCATAAAGCCTTAATAATGCTATCAAATCTAAAACAAAAAAGTTATGATTGATGAAAGTAGTAAATCGGTCAGATTTGACCCGAAGACAACAGGAGGGTTAAAGGTTGTGATGATAATTGGAAAGGGAGTATAGAATAAATGCTGAAGGCATATGGGATAATTTTAATTTAGGGTGTTAGCAAGTTCATATTATGCACTTGTTTTTAGTTATTTAAAAAAAAAAATGTATTTAGATCAAAGGTGTATGAGGTAAGAATTAACAGTCACTTCAATATACTCTACATAGCATGTTCCTTTTTTTTTATTTTCCAACCTTTCAAACAATGTTTTCATATTTTCACTCTTTGGAATATCCCTAAACTGAGCACAGTGAATTAATGAAATCTGCATAAATAGACATGACAAGCATTTAGTCTTATTCAACCAGCAGAAATGATGCACTCAATCCATATGGTAGGCTTCATATGCAGTCACGCAGTGACCAGAAGTAACAAATACACACTGAAACCTTGACAACTTTCATTCTGGACATTATGAAGACAGTTACCATTGAGACAGCTATCATCAATCCCCAGGAATAAAATGGTACATTGTAAAAGGTTTGATAAGAGTTTGTTTTTTCCATATTTTGTCCAGAACAGGGCTACTTAAAACTCGGCAATTGTGTTAAATTAAAGAATAATGACAGACCACCAACCCAAAATAAGTTAACAGAAATATAACTTTTGTTGCAAATTATACAACACAAATGTTTCTTCTTAAAGTGTGTCAAAGTTGAAGAATAGGATCCATTAACCTTTCTTCACGCCTTAACAAAACAAAAAGTGTCACATTTCCACATTTTTCACTAGGATAAAATACTTTTTGTTTAGTAAACACACCTGCTCCAGATCAAACTTCATGCACAATGATTTTTATAAATTCATGAAATCACTGAGCTCAAAGTATCCAATATATAGATAGAGTCCACCGGTGAGGACTGCTGAAGGGGTTTGTGTTGATGTTATAGAAAGCCTGTAAAAAAAGGAGGAAAATAGAACAGACATGTTGGCAGCTGGCTTAGCGACATGTGCACCTGGTGGCAATCATATCTTCCAACTCCTTGTACACATAGGAGCCATCCTTTTCAAAGATCATGACACTCAACGGGCTGTAGTGGGAGGGGATGCACGAGGGCCGAGGCACAGAGGAGTCAAGGTTCTCATAGATGATGGTTTGCACCATGGCGTGGAAAGGCGAGCCGTAGATGAATCCCAAGGCCCTCGGGCAGACGCCACTGCAGTACCTGGGGTTGTACTTGGGTGGAAATACAATCCAGTGTTCCAGTTTAAGCTGGTTGAATCGCACCCTGAAATCATATAAGGCACAGTGGCTTGTCGGGAATTCAGAGCTGGAGAGAAGCTCAGGCAGGTGGAGGGTTTTATCAGCTTGTTTGCTCTTTGGAGATTCCCTCTTCCATCTCCTCTTTCGCCCAATCCTCTGTTCTGTTTTGAAAGCCATCTGCTTGTGAAAAGTGTTCCCTGCGGTTTCTGGCCTTTGACCCGCGATGGAATTGTCCTGAAACCTCTGGTTGTCGATGTTGCTGGTGTCATAGAGATAAAGAAGCAGAAGAGGGGAATTCAGGGTGAAATTTAGGGGGGCATTGCGCTCATCACCTCTGGCTTTCCGTTCCCCTGGGCAGGTGACATTAATGTGCAGGTGTATATTCTTCTTGTGAAATCTTATGGGAGGCCTGAGAAGCGATGTGACATCGACCTCCACCCAGTTCCTCCTGCTCCCCCCGGCTGCGCTGACTGTGAAGTTCCCAGCATGGTGGATCCGGGAACACAGAGGACACTGGTTGAGGTGCTCTAGCTTCTCCAGACTCAGGTAGCATACAGAGTTGACGGGTGCTGCGAGGTCATGGTCAAAACTGTACAGCAGGGTTGACTTCAGGAGCTGCTCTTTTCTTCCAACATGATCAAGGCTGTAGGAATAATCCTGCATAAAACTCTCTAGAATATGAGAAAAGATTAGATCACTGTCAGCATTACATGTCAGCATCACAAATCCATGCACTTATGATAACATTAGACAGTCATATTTCCTTATAAATATGTCTGTTTAATGTCACCGACGCCTTTGAAACAAGATTTTTTCTGTACCCTTTGCCCTTTTTATGCATGTTAGCAGAGGTGGGAGAACTACTCAGATCTTATACTTGTATACCAGAGTTTAGGAATAATCTGTTACAATTACAAGTCCTGCATTCAAAGTGTTACTCAAGTAAAAGTATTTACATCAAAATATACTTAAAGTACCAAACGTAAAATAACTCATTATGCAGATCAGTCCATTTAATAATAATACATATCATATGTTTTGATTATAACTATTGATGCATTCATGTGTTTATCAAAAATGTGCAGCTAGTTTTAATAACTTTGTATTGTGAATTTACTCCAGGTGTAACTAAAGTCTGATTTAAGTGTCGATTATATTTCACATCATTAATCAAAATCTGTCAAATAACTAAAAGGTACAACATAAATGTAGGGAAGTAAAAGTACACTATAATACTCAAGTAAAGTACAAGTATCTCAAAAATTGTTCTTGAGTAGGCCTACACTACTTATTAGTAAATGTACAGAGTCCCTCTCTGGTCATTGGGTAGTCATAAAAATGGTACATTTTTTAACAGAAATGCCAATATAAATGTCAGCATCATCACTGAAGGTAATGCATGTTACATTGTTTGTTAGGAATTGTCAGTTGAGTTGTTTTACTTGCTCACCTTCATAACTTTGTGCTTGACATTCATCTTGTGGTTTAATCAGTCGGAGTGTGTTGTAGATTTTATTCCCGTCCAAACTTCTCTGCAATCTGGAGGATTTACTGTAAACCTCGGTCAGATACTTGATGTACCTGTGATCGGGTTTGATATTTTTCTTCAGTTCCTGGTTCCACCTCGACCCTCCGTGCTCTGACAGGGCTTTGAGCAGCGGGGAGAATATGCTGCTGTACGGGTAGGTGAAGTCACCCAGTTTGTGCAGCGCATTGGAGTGAGATCCGACCAGAGGGCAGCTGTTGACCAGCAGCAGTAAGAAAACCATGCGAAAATAACGAAGGACAGCTGAAATCAGCATTTGTTTTTCCATTATAAACAACAAACAAAACGTATAGAGACTCTCTATTGAGAGCTCGGGTAAACAGGACCAAGCACGTGTTGCTGGTGATCACCATGCGCAGGTGTTGGCAATCAACTCTGCCTCTCATATGACTTTCTCAGGTAAAGATACCTGTTTCACTTTCAGACATGATATGAGCAGCAAGAGGAAAGTTCAAGATGCTAGATGGTTTATTAGCATTAAACAAGCTCGATCCTGCATCCATGATTCTCTCATCAGATATGGGAATGATGATGAAATGTAAAACTAGAAGTAATACCCAATACAAGCGACTTCCGGCTAGATATTCTCCATAACATTATTCACAAAAACGCATAAGGTTTCATTTAAAAGCATATCCCACAAATATATGTTTTTCATTTATCAGATGCACAACAATATGCAAAATTGAATGTTATTGACTGAAAAAATAGGGACTTATATGGCGATATATTTTACAATTTTATTTTGAAGGATAACCTCCCAACGTCCGGTTGTTATTTTCCAGTTTCCCAATTTAAGGAAGTTTACACTATGGTTCACACACCGGTGAGTAATTTACAGCGTTAGTAATATCAGAGTTAGGATACTAAACCGTCTCAAGTGGAAAAATATATCTTATAAGAAAAAAATTCTGACATTTTTGTAATTAGAGGAAACATTTTTGAGATTAGAAACACCGACTGACAGGAGGTCAACAGAAAAGTAAGTTACTGATTTAGGTGTAACGTTAGCTAGTTAGCAAATAAAGTAACGCTAGCAATAATACACTTTTAATGTACTGACATCAGTGGTGTAAAGTAACTAAGTACATTTACTCAATTACTATACTGTATTTTAATGTTTGCTACTTTTTACTTATTCTACCCAACTACAATTCAGAGGTAAATATTGTACTTTTACTCCACTACATTTATTTAATATCTTTAGTTACTTTGCAAATTTGGATTAATGATTTAAAATAGAAACATTCACAGTATACCCTGCCTGCAAAGTAATTAAAATAGATGGATCTTACCAGTTTTGATACAACTCTAATGCATCAATAATAACGATCAAAACATATGATATGTATTATTCTGAAATAGTCCAATCCGCGTAATGTGTACTTTAGGTGTAACAAAGTATTCCTACACTCTGGTATTCTTACTTTTACCTTGAGTACAAGATCTGAGTACTTCTTCCTAACTCTTGACTTTATTTGCATTGCTCAACCCTCAGCTAGATATGCTAATGCCAATTAAAGTTAGGTACATTCAAATGACTAGTAAAGTAACTAAATGTACTACATAAATGTTGTGGAGTAAAAGTTCAATATTTACCTCAACAAAAACATAAAATGGAAATACCTAAGTAAAGTACAGCATTGTAATTGAGTACAGTACTTGTGTGCATTTATTTAGTTATACTTTCCAGCACTAATCCAGAAGACAATTTCACTTTGTTTCAAGATATTCTATTTAATGTGACCTGGTGGCTCCAAACCCATAACAGATACGTATTAATACCACATTGAACAAATAAGAAACCACTTTTAATTACCGTAGTGCTTCTTTTATTTTAAATGAATGTTTTGCATAATTACTTCATTGACAATTTAAGGATAATAGTTGCAAACCCTGCCCTCTACTGGTCTGATATATGTAAAGCAAGTACAGGGGCACCTTGCCCATCATCTGTTAAAATCATCTAAGATAAACAAATATAAACAATATAACGTACCACCAAAGATAGGAATATGGACTTTTGTTGGCTATTACCATGCTCGTGTTGTGTGATGGAAATAGTTTATATAATCTCTTATGTTGTGGCAACTGATTATATTCAGATAATATTTGTCTTTATACATTTGTTGCCTTGCTTTGCCTTCAGTGGTTGTCAGGAAAGTCGATGATTGACCCTTGATGTGATGTTTTTGGATTTGAGGGGATGCACCACTTTGTTGTTTATGTTTTTACCGTAAAACCTTGAATATGACATGACCAAGCTCTAGCCCCACTGCTTGCAAGGCTCTAAATCTAGGATTATTTTTGTTTGTGTCATGTAACACTTTCATTTTATGAAGGGTACTTGTAAGGCCTCTACGGCCAAATGGCTAGGCTTTGTGTCTCAGTTACACACCATATTAATACTAAGAGTAACACTAACTTGCACACTACTCAGTGTCCATTTTGAACTGACAGGAAATGATACCAGGCCTGGACCATGCCACAGTATTGTTATGCAGTCTTTAATCTTTGCACATTCAGTCTGAACTATAACAAAAGAGACACAGGAGGTTTTGTGTTGTTTCTTTTCATGATACTTCATTGCAAATAATAGTTTTGAGGTGAGATTTAGCACATAATACAATCTACAATGTTAAATATTTGCTGTGAGTGCAGCTGCCTTTTGCGTGGATTATTATTGAAGCTGCTTCTTTTCCAGATAACGAGACAAAGGACATTGTTCTGGCACAGTTTTGCGTATGGCTTCATTGTCTGAGATCCAACTCTTTTCATGTCATCTGGCTGGGATAGTTTCCTCTGGGTTACTTAAGGACACATGGCACACAGATGGCAGATTACTGTTTTCAAGCATTTCTTCTCTGGGAAAAGACAATTCCTTAATGACAAAATGACAATGTTTTTATAAAGCGTGTTGGTTTTTCCCTTAACTTTATATCTTTCTGTGGCTTCTGTTTTACAGTTGAGAAAATCTTGTTAAACTTGTATTTGGCTGAAATCCTTTCTAATCAAGACTAAAATGATTGATGTGGTATTTGGGTCATGGCCGAGAATGTCTTTTTTACTTTAGACATCACCCTAAAGAGTGAAGCCATGTTGTCCCACAAAGGGAGGCCTTTCTCTCCCATTACAGCTCAGGTTCACAAAGAGGTTGATAAAGGAGACATTCCACCACCCAGTCTGCTGGCCTGCTTTTCATAACAGGCCCCCCAAAAGGTCCCCTCTGCTTTTACTGAAGGGGAGAGGTAGCTTTCTCAAAAATGTGTTCTATTTTCTCCACAAGATTATCTGATGTTTTCTCTCTTTTGAAAATTAAAAGACTTTATTTTGATCATAGTTATATCATAAATAGATCTGCTGTGCACAAAAGCAACAACACAATGTTTCACACCAGTGTTGTTAGCAACTGTTTCCCATGTCATATTTCATTTATCCTCATACTTTGAAGTCACAAATCAATTGGTAACTTCTACAGATGTGTTCCACAAAAAGTAATGAAAATATGTGTAAATATCTTGGATTGCTTGTGTTGTTAGTAAGAAAAATAAATTAAACGGGATCCAAATAACACTCATTCTTAAAACAAGGAATTAAGCTAAGGAAAAAAAGTTGATTAAATAATACTAACTGCTTATAAATAGTACATCCAGCAGTGATACACTGTACAAAAGCGCTACAATAGTAAGTACAGAGAGACTTATAACACATTAAGTGATGCAGAGGATAAACAACGGGTTTTTTGTTTCATATTAACATAATATACAAACTCAGACAGTATTAGCTATTACAATTGTCCTATTGTCCTGATCCTCCATGTCACTCTCACCATTCCTGAGCAAACTAGTTTTTCTGTTTCCTCCCTATGTGCGGCTGGAACAGTTTACTTATGGTGTTGAAGCCTTTCTGGTGCTCTCTGTATTCTTCGTTGTCTATCTTCTCCCTGCACTTGCTGTGCTGCAGTCCTCCCATAAGTGCTCTGACTTCAGATGACACATGTTTTCCCAGGTAGTGGAAGGCCTTCTTGCCATCATTATCTCTCTCATTTACACTGGCTCCATAACCTTGCACGAGCTGAAACATCACTTCAGTGTGGCCGTGCATGGCTGCTATGTGCAAAGGTGTGTACCCCCCGTGTGCTTTGCTGTTGATGTTTACACAGGTTCCTCTTCTCCTGGAGATGTCCAGCAACTTGTGTATCATCTCACTGTTGCCGTCTTTGGCGGCCCAGTGCAGTGCCGTGAATCCTGACATGAAGTCTTTCTTCTGTGCCAGCCGAGTGTCCTGCAGCAGCAGACCGTGGATGTGACCCCACAGTCCAGCTGCACACTTTACCAACCACTCATGAGCTAATGGCTCCAAAGGCACTGACTCTGAGTACTTTGCATCATCTCTCTTGCTTTGAGACCTCCCCAGGGGAAATCTTGGGGGTTGCATGTCCTCCATCTGTTTGTTTTTCCAACACTGGGACTCACTTTGTGCACTCTTTTTATAAGCTGGAAAGTTAAGATTCAGAGTTGATGGTGAAGAAACTTTAGTTGTAAACGTGATTGGTTTGTCTGACGTTTTAGGTGGACGCACTGGGGAATGTATTTCATCCTGTGCTGCTGGTGCAGAGTCTCTCGGGGGGGATTTTACCGCTATGACAGCAAACACAGCACCAGATTTCCTCGCTTTGCTCGTCTGATCTCCGGAGATATTCAGGACTTTAACCGTGGTAGCCTCCCCACTATTGCTTCTTAATAACTGCCTCTTGTCGTGCATACCCCCCACAGACTTACGTTTGGCTTCACTACAATAGCTGCCATTTATGTTCGAGGGGTAGCACGTATTATTGTTTTCAATGTCAGAATAAATCACCCTGCCTGCCTCGGCTCGGTGAGGAGATGGAAACGAAAAGCTGCTATTGTGTTCGTCGTCCATCTGCGTTTTTTTCTGCGGGGTTGCATCGTACGCTCCCTCTCTTACAAAGTCCTGATAGCGTTTCTTCACGACCACAAACTTCACCTCGTCGATCTGTTTCACCACTGCGACGCTGTTCACCAACTTCTTGAAAAGGTCCCTATTGTGCTGCTTTTCCGCTGGATCGCCGCAGTTGATCTGAGTCCTGAAGTTGTTCACCAGCTCCGAGTTTTTCACTTTGCCTCCGTGCTCCAGCAAAAAAGACAAAAGAGATTCTTGAGTCAAAGCCATTTTTTCCTCTTGAATTGGTACAAATGTGTGAATAATAACGGATAGCTCAGATAACTCCCGAGGGATAATCTGGTGTCTGTCCGTGCTCCTCTCCCCTGTCCTGTCCAACCTGCTGCTTCCGGCGCCTCGCCAAATAAACTCCCGTTGTTTTGTTCGAGCTCTCCTGCTGAAGGCTGGGCGACTGGGTTAGTAGATATAGATCAATATTAAAAGTAGGCCTACTTAAAAAAAGTTTGAAGGTAAAAGTTATAGTTATATCAGTATGTTTTACATATTTATCTGTTAAGTTGAAACAAAATAGATTAAAATATTATTGAAATAAAGTAGAACTACGTTGATCATACATTTTTACAGCTTCATAGATTACTTCGTGTTTCTTTGTTTCGGCTATTTAATCAATATTGAGTCGCATACAAAGGGGAAATTCTCCTAAGATACTGATTTACTATCAGTAAGCCTACATGTTAAATCTCTTTTGACATTGAAAAGGAATCAGTACCAAATATAGTATTGGCTAGCCATAAACAATGAATTGTTTTGCTGCTCTTAATGCACACACACAGAACATACAACTAAAAAACAAGGACAACAAAGCTGATCCCCAAACATTAAGCTATTATGTAAAAAAAAGTATAAACGTGTGTAGGCCTATATATAAACAGTAGCCTACGACATTGAACGACAACATACAATGTCTAAATCAGATTGTTTCTGTGCGTTTTAAATTAATACAGTAGTGCAATGACTAAGTGCATACTGTTAGTGTATATGCTTGAATTAATATTAAATGATTCATGTAACGGGTTACTTAATATTGCCTTCATGAAGTAGGCCTTAATGATCAAATAAGCTTCTTAAATCAATTCTAAAATTGTTTTTGAAAAAAACCAGTTGGTGGAATGGTCATTATTCAAAAACAACGCAGCAATGATAAATTGCTTAATATAACATATAGCAGCCTAAATATAATATGATTCTTTACATTAAGCATGTTACAGTATTTCATTCAGACCTGCATTCATAATCTACTTTTAGAGGCACATATTTACTGGTTATATTATCAGCTGGTGCATTAATCACCACCTGGTTTAGCTTAAGTGAAGCCAATTTTAGAAACTTTATTTGTTATTGGGTAGCTTCACAATTTACAAGTAGATTATATGCTACATCTTGCTAAATTAACTACCAATTGTCAAATGAATGATAGTGTAGAAACAAGTAGGCTATATTTTCCCCTGAAAGGTATGGGGAAGATAATTAAGTATTATTTAAATATTGTGAAGTCCTCTTTAAACGGTTGCTAACAGACAGCTGATTGATGACGTCTATTGAAATGTGATATTACATTTGTAATACTGGTAAAAATCTGAACTCAATATAAACAACAACTGATTAACATGAAGGCACTATTTCTAATCCTGGAGAATGTATTAGCCAGCCTGCAGCTGAACCGTGGAAGCAGTAATCCGAATAATTCCTGAGTATTTAAAAAACCAAAACAGCTTGCTCCAAACTCTAGAGTTGAATTAGGACGTACAGTATGATGAATAGAGCTGTAGTGTCGCCGTCCAGCACCGAGGGGGTGTTGCCTCCAAGTGGCCATATTGAAAGCAGAGAGTCGCTCCGTGTTCAATGTGCAGAGGAGCCGTTCTGATGAAGGCAGATCTCTCCTGCACACTTCTGACGATGGCGGCCAATGAGGTAGATGTTTTCGCAGTAAGTATGATGATGTGCTGTCTGCGGGCCTGCAGTGACTCAGGGTTTGGTGAATGGAAAGGAAATAGGAAATTAAATAGCTATCAGGTGCACGTGAGAGCAAGGTGATGATGTGAGCAGAGAATGCATCAGGGGGCCTGCGGTGTTGAAAGGGCTTGTTATGTTAAATGAATCGGGATATGCACGGATTTTCGGTTGATACGACAGAAACGATGCGTCGTAGTCCGGTGCGCAATCTGTGTAGACGTACAATAAAAACACGCACTTCGGCATCCTAACTGGACGAAGCATGTGCATCAACCCTTCACTGTTTACCATGTTAACACTGTGACAGGTGCACACGGTGCTGATTTATGGAGAGTAGCATGAAACGCAGGACAGCAGGCAGCATGAGACTAAGTTAAGACATAAGTAGCAGCCTCCTCAAGTGGTAGCTAGCTAAACATTGTTTACCGAAAAAATATGTACTAGCTAAACGTGTTATTAATGACACATATGTAATCCCCTGTTTACAGGTTGCATTGCGCATGATGGGAGACTTTGTTGAGTGATGGTAGTGTGTGTGCTAACTGTAGAGGGGAGTTATGGGTACCAGGGCAGCCAGCAGCTTGGATATCCTCCCACCCTGTGAAACAACATCTAGATAAAGAGCTCTTTGTGTGTTGTGGAGAGGGACAGAAACGGATGATTGTTGTATTGAGCACATCCTGATCCTCATGGTGAGCCTTTTGCAAGATGCCAGTATCCCAGGGTGCATCTGGTATAGGATAAACCGACTAGATTAGACAGCCAGGGCAAAATGCAATCTGAATACGTTTTAGGATTTACAGATTCAAATGTATTGATATTATGGGATTTCATTTTCTGTGTGTAGTGAACTAGACTAATGAACTAGATTAAAAATTGAATATTTGTCATATTGTCATTGCTTGAAAGAGGGCTTGGTGGGGTAGGTACGTTTGAGAAACCGGCTCGAGATACACTTTTTGTTATATTCCATGGAATGCTCTTAACATCCCGATAGCAATGAATATCGTGTGCTTTGACAAAAAATACATAAAAAAATGTCATCTGTGGAAGCCGTAGTACTGTAAAAAGCACGACCAATCATCTGAGCCGACCCGGCTAAAATAACTGGATGGCCTACCTGCCTGTCAGCCTTCCATCGGGGCACAAATTTATCTCGTGCCCTCATTGGTCATGTGCGCGTTCGTGTGTGTTGGAGGAGGGGCTCTATAAGGAAGTGGCAGATTTTCTCCGGGTGTGTATTTTCAAATTCTGGCTATCTCGAGCCGGTTTCTCAAACTTACCTACCCCACCTTTAAGGTTTTTCAAGCAAAGTCTCATATTTTCGGATGCTTTTTTACAAGTTACTTAGTGTTGGTTGTGCAAAAAGGCAATTTGAAGAGGTAACCTCCTCCTATGTGATGGGGGTAAATTACCTTATTTTTTAATTTCAAAGAAAAATGTAATAAACTAATAAAAATATTATTCACAGACAAATGAATGTTGAAATTATGTGTTAATTTCACCCATAAATATAGGAAAATAAGTATACTTATAATCGCAAACCTTCCCTGTTGGCAGCATTAACCTAGGGTTTACAATAAAGCTTTACAGACACAAGACACTCAATGTAAAGAAAGACAATCTGTGCTGCACAGCTAAAATAATTTTTGAAGCTTTTTGTTTTCTTCCTATGTTTGCGTGGTTTTGAAAGATACATTCGGTTTGTGATACTGAGACAGAACATTTTTGTGGGACTATTCAGTGTGTTTAGTGGAAGAGAAAGATGACCTCATTTTGAAAAGAATGCTTTTAAGCTTGAAGGGAGATTGTGAGGATGAGACCTGACAGAAAGACCTATTTATTCCCTAACTTTTTATTGGTTTTTGGTATTGTTTCCTACGATATATATATATAGTAATATAAAATGAATACGATCAAATGTTTCTTAAATAAAAGTCATACAGTCTGATATATCCTTTGTTCTGCCTTTTTCTGTCTACCTCAGCATGAAGAAAAGCGAAACCTGGAGCTCGGAGGTCATGTGGGGTTTGACAGTCTTCCAGATCAGTTGGTCAGTAAATCAGTGGCTCAGGGATTCTGTTTCAACATCCTCTGTGTAGGTATGTCTAAACCCAGGAGGAGCTCATAATCCAGAGTCAGTGCTTTGAGCGTGACATGCATGCATACATTTAGAATGTACCTAGTTTTTCCCTCATCTATATAAACCATGTGTCTTCTTCTCTTTGTTTTCTAAGGTGAGACAGGGATAGGCAAGTCGACATTAATGAACACTCTTTTCAACACAACATTTGAAAATGAGGAAGCCAGCCATTATCAGAGTGAAGTACAGCTACGCCCACAAACCTATGATCTGCAGGAGAGCAACGTCAACCTGAAGCTGACCGTTGTGCACACTGTAGGGTTTGGAGACCAGATCAACAAAGGGCAAAGGTATACATTCTTGTAGATGTGATTGATTGTAGATGTTCGTTTGATTTTTAGTGTTTTCGAGGAAGAAAATGGGATCAGAAGTGGAAGAATCTAACTTGCACAAAATCAGAAAATAAACAATGTTATTTAAACATCATAGAAAGCTTGATACGAACATTTTCAGTGCTTTTTTTTTTATATTGATCATTTAAAATTCATAGAGATTTCACTCAGGAAGTTCCAGCTATTAATTATTTCCCCCTTTTGCTCTGCTACTGCAGCCAACTCACTTAGTATGGGATTGAGAGAGTGATCTGGCATGTGAACTGGGAGGGAAGAAAGGGAATATGGAAATGACTGGTTGAACTAATGCAATCTCAATAGACATTTAAATGCTCCAGCAGCAGGCAGTAAAAACTGCGGCCTTTTTTTGGCTGCAAGCCTGTAGTTGCAGAGTTTGTAACTAGGATACTTAAATGTCCATCAAACAACAACTAGTAAAGTCTATTGTGTTTGTCTTGTCTGTGCAGCCATAAACCCATTCTTGACTATATCGATGCCCAGTTTGAGAGGTATCTTGAGGAGGAGCTAAAAATAAGACGCTCCTTGTTTAACTGCCATGACACAAGAATCCACATCTGCCTGTATTTCATCGCTCCCACCGGACACTCCCTGAAGTCCCTGGATCTCGTCACTATGAAGAAACTGGACAGCAAGGTGAAGACCAAATCTCGCCCTGTGTATTTCAGCCAAAAGCTGTACTTCTTTGTCAATTAAAGTGTGTGTTTTTGTTCCATGCAGGTGAACATTATCCCAGTTATTGCAAAGGCAGACACAGTTTCGAAGAGTGAACTGGACAAATTAAAGATCAAGATAATGAGTGAGCTGGTCAGTAATGGGGTGCAGATTTATCAGTTCCCTACAGAGGATGAAGCTGTTGCAGAGATCAACACCTCCATGAATGTGAGTCCTAGAAACACACATAATACAATGTGATATGTATTTTACAGGATAATACATTCTCACTTTCTATACTACTGTAATCTTAATCTCTTATTTTACTTGTTGTAACATTCTTTGTTTGACAATCACTTGTAAAACACTCGGAGTTGCATTTGTTTTGTAAGAAAGGTGCTTTACAAATAAAGTTGAATTGAAAGATGAAGTAGAATAATAAAGTAAAACTAAATTCATTCAAATTATCATGCTACCATAGGAATAATGTTGCAAACATTTAGGATATATTTCCGTGAGAACTAAAGTCGCACATGTTAAGCCTCAATTTAAATACATAGCTACTAGACCAACATATTTCGAAGCATGTTGTAATTTACTCTGAATATGACGACAGGAGTATCATGTTCAACCATGTTGTAACTTTATCAATACGATGTGTTACAGACTCATCTTCCCTTTGCTGTGGTGGGAAGTGTAGAGGACGTTAAAGTGGGAAATAAGATGGTGAAAGCCAGGCTGTATCCCTGGGGATCAGTACAGGGTGAGTCCGCTGAATTGTTAAATCATAAAAATCAATTGAGATAAAAACTTAGTATCACAATTCTCCTGTTTTATGAGATTTTAGATTTTGTCGTCTTGTCTTCCAGTGGAGAATGAAAACCATTGTGATTTTGTGAAGCTGAGGGAGATGCTGCTGCGTGTGAACATGGAGGATCTGCGAGAGCAAACACACGCTCGACACTATGAGCTCTACCGTCGCTGCAAGCTGGAAGAGATGGGCTTCAAGGACACCGGCCCGGACAGCCAGTCGTTCAGGTGAAATTTAGGCTAGCAGGGATGTAATGCATCTGGGCAACTTCAGTGGAGCTGCCAAAAAACCCTGCTCTCTTCTGATGTTAAAACTGGGCTGAACGGTATAAAAAAAACACATTAAAATCTGTGTTTCTATGATTTGGGATGGGATGAGATTTGTTCCTTTTGAACCTCCAACTGAAAAAGAAAAATGCAAAGCTTTATGCATATTTTTTCACTCTAATTGTACTATTTATTTACTAAGTATACAGGGTGTCCGCGGGGTCTTAAAAAGTATTAAAAGTTGATCAATCTATTTAGCGAAAATTAAGGCTATTAAAAAGTATTAAACGGCATTTTCCAAGGTATTAAGAAGGTCCACAGCAACGAAAACATGAAACACCCTTTAATTTACTGAAACGACATGTCGGGAAACCCCCCAAGGCGGCCCATGCATAGCGAGCCGTAAAATGCTGCTTATTATTTTAAGTTTCGTTGCCTTGCTCCGCTCTGTGGGGGGGGGGGTCCCAAGGTGGGTAGACCGGCATACGCAACGCTCTGGGGGTCCAACGGCTCCGTGTGTAAGCCCTATATGATCATTTTCTGATAACGATGAAATAGCCCGCCTCCCTCTCCCCACGTCTCCTGCTGCTGCTGGGCTGTCAGAAGAGGGGGAGGAAAAGAGAGGCAGGCACCGTTTATTAATTTATTATATTATTATACAGAGAACAGAGTCGTTATCAATTTGTTTTTAAGCTCAATAAATAACAAAGAAGACCTCTGATCGGCACTTTTCTAATTTTGTACGGAAGATTTAAACTTTAACGGACATGTTGACCGGCTGAACATTTTTTTAACGGAAACTCTGCCGCACGGTTCCCTCGTCCCTTGGAAGAGGCGGAGAGGTGGGTGTTTTTCATCTGCTGGTGGACTACCTGAGAGATATACAGCAGGAGAACACGCCGTCCACCGCGGAGAATAAACAGAAGGGCAACCATGGCAACCATGCTCCGGGGTCTTCTTCGCTGCTTTTGGTGTATTCTGGGCGGCAGCAGCGCCACTTACAGGCCTGACATATGTACTACATCGTTTCCAGCATTTCCAGCGGTCTAGTGTGAACGGACACGTTAATGAATCGAATGCGTGTGAACGGAAGACTTTTTTGCGTTTGCGTATGCGTTTTACCGTATGCGTCCTCGTGGGGCCGGGGTCTAAGCCAAACTATATCCGGTCACAGAGATCTGCTATTTTAAAATAAAGTCAACACATATAGATCCTAAATATAGTCTATATTAAGAACAAGAAAAGTTTTAACATATATATCCTTTTTTGTAAACATATGACAAATGTGTGAGGGTGATGACGTCAGAGCATCGTCCTATGTGCCAGGGCTTAGCCCCGGACAGCCCCAGCCCAATTTAACCCCTGGGTATTTGTGAGGGATCTCCTATATGGCATTACCCCGCTGAAGCTCACCAAAGTTTAACATATTTCATAGTTCAAAGTTTTGTCAATTGTTTTGTTTATTGGTCAAATACTGGTTTCTAATGGTTTCTGAGGAGTTTTACTGGAATGAAAGAGCACAGAGTNATTTGTTAACTCCTCTGCATATAACTTTGAGTACCTTTTATATACAATTTCCGCAACCACGAAGTCGCGCGCCAGTGTGCACGAGTATATCGCTCGAGGAGCGTGTTATGGTCCCCAGACTTTACCCGGTGCGTAAGCTAAGTAAGTTCACAGGGCAAGTGTGATCTGGGTGATCTGGGCGAGGCCTTACGACCTTTGCTACATCATGTATATCAAATACTGGTTTCTAATGGTTTCTGAGGAGTTTTACTGGAATGAAAGAGCACAGAGTCTACAGAAGCAAAAAAGCAGCATACTGCATTAAACCTGACCTTCACAGAGAGGTTGAAGTTCATGTGGAAAGGAGGCTTCAGTAGTCTGTCTGCACACTGTTTAGTTTTGCTATCTTACAATCAATATAGTAAATGTGAGGTAAAGTGTGTTGCCAATATAACCGGTTAGAACTCAAAGTTGCGATGAGGTCTTAAAATGTATGGAAAGGGTCTTAAAAAAGGTCTTAAAAGGTATTACATTTGACTTCAGGATTCCTGCATATACCCTGGTATGGAAAATCAAGCACTTCTTCTTAAATACTTAACCTATGTACAATTTTAAGGAACTTACTTCTTCCTTGACAGCTACAGTTACTAGTTATTTTCAGATTGCTAATCTTCATACCATTTCTGCCTTGTGGAAACAATGTTTCTCCAAATTTGGGGATTTTTGATTGAAATGTTTCTGGTAAACTGAAGGATGAAAGTGTTTTTCTGAACAGTAGCCACAGACATAGAGAAGTAAAATGTAAATCTGAAAACCACATATAAATGGTCAAACACTGACAGGGAACCTTTTTCTGCAGAATGAGTACTGCTTGTTTTGATACTTTAATCACATTTGACTGATAATACTTACATACTTACTTAATTTAGGTTATGAATGCAGGAATTTTGAATTGTAGTGATGTATTTCCAGTGTTGTATTATTGCTTTCATATACTCTAATCAACAATTGTTTTTTTACAGATACATATTTTTTGTCTCTTCAAATATTTTAAGTTTACGTATTTTTTTAACAGAATTGTGATCAGTAATGCGTGGCTATTCCAATTGTTTTATTATTGAGTAAATACTAAGTTCTACATGACCCATTTTTGTGATGCATTAATCCTAACCTAGTAAACATTAATTTAATAACTAAGATACCTTTATTAACTGCTGCAGCAACCAGCTTCTGGATACATGTCCTTTCAAATAAGGCATTAGTGTCCTTAACATTTTTTTTCTGATTTTCAGCCTTCAGGAAACATACGAAGCAAAGAGGAAGGAATTCCTCGTAGATCTGCAGCGCAAAGAGGAGGAAATGAGACAGATGTTTGTGAGTAAAGTGAAGGAGACAGAAGCAGAGCTGAAAGAGAAAGAAAAAGAGGTGAGGATTGACATGATAAAAAAACTGTCCACAAAAAATATACAACATTTGGTTGGTCTCACTTTTTTGCCTTGGGCCATCACCATCACCATCTTTAGCTTCATGAGAGATTCGAGCAGCTCAAGCGGATGCACCAGGATGAAAAGAAGAATCTGGAGGAGAAAAGACGAGACCTGGAGGAGGAGATGAACGCCTTCAACAGAAGAAAGGTGGCTGCTGAGACACTGATGGGACAGGCTCTCCAAGGCTGCTCACAACCATTCAAGAAGGATAAGGACAAGAAGAAGTAAGTCTGCTTGTCTCTATGTATTTGATTTGATTCATGGTTCTTTATTTACACAATGATTGTCAGAGCAAGCCCAAATGCCACTAAACAGTAAAAACTGTAAATTCCTTCAGGCAATTCAAAGATAATTGGTTAAATGTCATGTAATCTCTGAGCCAGTCTATGTAGAGTTGTCCAGACAGGGTGGGGAGGCGTACTATGTGATTAATGAGATAGTGTTATTTTCCCAGAAGCCATGTTGGCTTAGAAACTGATAGAGGGACAGATTCAGACTGACACTGTGTGCCCAGACATAGTGGGAAGGGTCACAGCTTGCATGACACAGCCTGATGCTTGTGTCTCTGCGGGCTGACCTGCCAGACTGTATCTCAGGCAGGGGCACGTCTGTTTACATTCGACCGGTCTCACCGATGCTCACGCCATGTGCAGCACAGAGGACACTCAGACATCCCACAAAGAGCCGTAATCATTTCTGCAGGTGAAAACATTATCATGTCAGCATCAATTACATACGCTCAAAAGTTACACAGCTTGGAGCGCAACATTAGCCTTGGATATCAACATACACGAAGCTGCCTTAATAAAGAGAAAGCTTAATTCCTTAAAATATTTTGTAAAATCAATGGCAGGGTAAACTGGATTTAATGCCATACCATGTGGGGGAACATGTTACTTAAGGACAAGAATTACAAGAGTTGCTTAAGGAGTTACAGTCTGATACCACACATGGCTAAATCTTTAATTTTAACAGATATTTTACTGTCCCTCTAAAATACTGTAGCTGACAATCCTTCTGTCTATACTACATTAATGGTTTTAGAAAAAGCTGTAAATCCATTATCATGTATTTAAAGTGCAAGAGGATAGTCTAACTGAGATAAGGAATCTCTTCTTATTGAGACATGGCGAACACAGGCAGCAACATAAATAAAAAACAATACTTTAGCTAGAGACAGACGGACAGAAAACATAAAGCATTGGGACTTAAAAGATATTGAAAAGAGTGACACATAGTTGGAGAAATTGTTTTCCATTGTTTTTTTAGAACAATCTGATTTAATATATTAAAATCCAAATAGATTAGTATGATTCTGAACGTAGCCTAAGACTAAGTGTAGGCCTGTGGAAGGTGAGTGGATGAAACAAAGTTACAACCTCAACACATTTGCATTCCCATTTCATTCATTTATTACTTTGATTTCTACCATTCCTCAAATCCTCCATGTTTTTTTCCCCATATTCTGTCTTATATCTTTTCCCCTTTCAGTTGATTTATGGATCAAACATCCAGGGAAACCAGGAATGTGTCTGCTGTCAGCATGGGAAAAAGAGACTGTCATATCTGACACTGCACACTGACACTGTATGTGTAGGCAGTGTCACTTTGACTATGCACGTATGTCGGCCTGAACAATGTGATGGCTTTAAGCCAATGTGTACTTATGGATCAAAAAGGTAGCTTTGCTTAGTGTTTCTAATTCGTCCCTAATGCTGACTCTGCTAGACACACAATCCATGGAGTGTTTTCATAACATGTAGCTTGTGTTGTTTTATGTTCTGCCATGAATGTGTGTTCATGTCCTGTTGTAGAACAGGAGACTTTTAGTCACTGACTGAATTGAACTGATTGCAGTAGTAGTGCATTACAGAGCATTTGTGTGTTTATACATGCAATTATTTACAACTTAAATTGTCAACAGTTTTAAAAGACAGAATTTCTAATAATGTACATTAACAAATGTATTTTATTTTTTAAATTGTAAGTAGATTAACGTAAAAAACGTAATGGACTTACACCATGATATGGAAAATTATAAAGCTATTAACTAAATAATTGAACAGTGTGTCTGTGAAAAGAGCAAATATGCCATCATTTATATTGAAATAAAAAATGTCAATGTTACACCAGACAGAGCATCAGTTCATCTGTTGGTCATCTGAACCCTAAACCCTCACTTCTCTAGGACTTCCCGTCATATCAGTCATTTTTTATGATTCCAAACATTTCATATTGCACTTGTTGTCATCATGATGTATCAAAACATGGTTTTCTGATTTTTATCTGTAAACAGTGTTTTGTTAAAAGCATTATCCATTCAATTCAAGTTGTTGTTTTAGATTTTCTTTGTCCCTGGCAGCATACAGTACAAATAACAAAATGCAACCCTAATTATAATTTGCACTAATCTTTGGTACTTCGTATCTTGTTGAAGTTTGTCTAATGGCCCTAATGAATATGTAGATTTGCTTGTTCAGATAAATGACATGGTTTTTCTTTCCTTTTCATAGCTTCTTTAGTCTTCCATCTGCGTGCTCCTTAACCTCAGGAAGGAATTTGAATTAGAAGACTTTCTACCACATCAAAAGATCACAGACTAACAGTGTATTATTTTTACAATATGAAATAACAATTTTATAGAAATGCACTTGACACTGCTGGAATTGATTCTGAAGTCTTCCATGTCTAGAAAACTCTCCTTTAAGCTTCTATCAGCGTTCTGTAGCATGGTCTCTGAATTGCATGGCTCCTAACCTTCATTCCTAAAAGTGAATCATATCATTGCCAAAATCTCTGTTTTTGTACTGAATGTGCTACCTTCATTAATCAGCTGTGTTATGCTTGTAGTTTTTGACTGATGTCAATTTACACTGTGAAATATACATTATAAAGTAACATATTGCTATTTAATGTTGTAGGGATCATTATATTATGATTTATAAGCACTTTAAATCAGTCATGGTTCAGATTCTATCCTTAATCAATATAAATGGTGCCCTATCATGCTAACATGTCAGTCCTTATGTTGTGTCAAAATTGCAAAAACTATATGATGTTACATGATAAAAAGCTTGATGTACATTGATATTGATATACATTCAGGATTAAATATCTTTGTGTGAGTATATCTATATGGTGGGTCTGGAGATTTGTATATCCTGATGTAATAAAGACTTACTTTATTGAAAATGTGCTTCGTACTCTACATAATTGCACTTTTCCTAGAGGAAACGACAGGTTGTGGAAAGCTTTGGTCAGTCTTAGCAGGCTCCCTCCAGATTGTTCCAGAAAGAAACCTGCCAGGAGGGGTCCTTTGAAAAAAAGAGACAGCATTGTACAAAAACGCCTGGCCCATAAAGACAATCGATATATGACATTTTAAGATATCGTTGCTTTATTGTTGATTTAAATTAAATGAATTCAGAATAAAAGTGTAATAAAATGTTGTTCCTAGCGTAAAGGTGCAGTATGTTATAACATTCTATTTCCCCCCGCCTTCCTATCTGTGATTGGCCGAAAGCCTGTAGAGGGCGGGACTTAATTGTGAATGACTGGGAATGTATCCAATGAAAATGTAGAATCATGAATGTCGTCCGTCGATAACCAATAGAAGCTCACCATGGGCTTGGCTTTCTGCCTGCATTAATACCGAAACGGCCCTTTCCCCAGATCGCCTAACGCTCAGGGTAGGGTGTGCATAGGCAGAACATAACCTAAGCTTAAAACTTTCTTTAGTGAAAGTACATACTTACACTTTTTGTTTTTTTAAATCTCCTTTCACTTGCTAATTTTAAGCTTGTGGAGTTTTTTTTCCAACTCTTATTTTTCATCACATTCAAGGCAACGTAACTTCATCCAAGGTAAGTTAACCAATCTTCCTTTCTTTATCATATTCACAGACCATTTGTGAAACGTTAGGAAGGATTGGTGAATTATAACCTTTAAACACATCGTTATGTTGTTGTCTGTGTCTTAAATTACAATAAACCCTGGGAAATTGTGTTAGCCTTAGCTGTTGTAGTTTAGCTAACAGTTAACGTCATGTCGTTTACGTCAGATTAGTGTGTCATTTCCCATTTCACCGTCATGAAGCATAACGTTAAATATATATAATACCCGCGGTGCTGTGTTTTATAACTTACACCACAGTTTTACCGTTGAAACTGTGTTATCTCACTTCGGCTTGTTATTATCATAAGGCTCTGTTAGCTCTCCATTGGTGTGTATGGCAAGGACATGTCCCGACATGTTCCGACATGATCCTGCCCAGTCATACGCATGGCCTATGATATAAATCCTTATTATCTGTCCCCAAATGATCAACATGTTCCCAAAACAGAGACAGTCAATTATATATTTAAGAAAGCGTGTATTAATCTTAATATGACATTAGAAAAGTTATATTGCTACTTCTAAGAAACTGTATTTGACATTTAGTAAGTTACCATCCACCGCCCCTTGCCCAGTCCAGTTGAGTCCAGTTCAATGACAGCTGTTAGGGGAAGGCTTGTTACTTGATAACTTACAAATATGGAAACACTCCAAAGTCTCAGTTAACGTTACTCCTGAGCAATGGATATCCCTAATGCATATCTGTTCTTATTAGTAAACTACATTAATTTCACTGTGCTGACACATATCCTTATTGCAGTACAGCTGTTTTAAAAATAATTAAAACCACTAAACCATTAAATTGTATTTATATGTGTTACCATATTATTTCCCAGGTTTGGGATATGGTAATTTGGATAGTTGTGTAGAAATAATGTTTTGATATCATTAAAGAAAATATATTGTCTGAGTTTTGGTTATCTTAATATTGTTTTTTTCTGGTCTTAGTTCTCAGATGCAAATGCGTAAGTTATTTGAATGTTATAGCAGAGTAAAACAGTTCATGTCTTCCTGCTTGACTATTCAAACTCCTTTTTATGTAAATGTAGCCATATGGTTTTAGAGTATGGCATATTTTTATGTAGCCATACACAATACTGTCATATAATCAGTACTTAGACTTGAAATTACAAATATTGGTTGAATTTAGTCGGTATTAATTGCCTCGATTTATCTATATGCACAGATGCTCGACACCGTGACAGCACCCGCAGCACTGCCCTTTGCCGTTCAGCTGAAGGCCCTGATGGACCTTGAGGGCCGATACCAACCAAAGCTGAGCGGCTTGCGGCTCATCGAGAGTTCCCAGGACAACGGCCTCAGGATGACCACCCGACTGAGGGAGCTCGAGGTCAAGGACTTGCTTTCTCTGACCAGGTTCTTTGGTTTCAGCTCAGAGACCTTCTCACTGGCCATCAGCTTGCTGGATCGATTTCTATCTGTAATGAAGGTTTGTAAATCTATTATAACCTGTCAAAATCATCTGGTCAGCTATCTATCTAGAAACAATAATAAAAGTAGTTTTATAAAATCTTTTCCCTGTCCTCTGCAGATTCAACCTAAGCACCTGTCCTGCGTGGGCCTGTGTTGCGTCTACATCGCCATTAAGTCCACAGAAGAGGAGAAGAACGTGCCTCTAGCCAACGAACTGATCCGCATCAGTCAGAGACGCTTTACAGTATCTGACATGATGAGGATGGAGAAGATCATCATGGAGAAGCTCTACTGGAAGGTGAAGGCCCCCACAGCCCTCCGCTTTCTGCGCCTCTTTCACAACAACATCCAGGAGCAGCTCGACGCTGAGAGGTAAGGACAGACGGTCACATCAACCTGCAGGGCTCAGCCATGACTCGACAGGATTATATTTACGCTACTAAAATCTGTCTTCTCATATTTGGCTTCAAAGAGAATACTGACCAAAAGGTTTTTTAAAGCCAAGAGGCACAGTCCCATGTGGAATAATGTAGATTTGTACATGGTTTTTAGATGAAAATATGTTAAAAACATTAGCATTGTCATTATTTTGTTGTACTAAAGAAAAGTGTTCATATTAGTCTCTAAATTGACATTTGAAGGTTGATGTATATCACATTGTTTACTGTGTGTTAGTCAGCGTCTTTAAACTGAACCCATTTTCTTTTCACAGCAAGAAGATACTGAGCCTTGATCGACTGGAGGCTCAGCTAAAAGCCTGTCACTGCTCATTTGTCTTCTCCAAAATGAAGGTAGGCCAAAATAACCGCCTGATAGCATTTAAAAGGTGGCCCCTTTTTTAAGTTGGAAATGTATTTTTGGAAGTTTTTCAAGTTTATGGTTAAATTATTTAGATGTATGTCAAAGCAGCACTTTGCTTACTATTTGATTAATCATTACAATACTTCATGTGGTGGTAGACCAGGTATAAAGTAGTACCTCTGTTTGAGCATATTCTTTATTCTAAATGTTATCTCTTAAATTTAGATGCGAGTGCTCTTAAACAAACATATTGACTGTTGGCAGCTTTTTTTTGTGTGATTTAAGAATTTCTTCTCTGTATCTCTTCAGCCATCTATGCTCGCTATGGCTCTCCTGTGTTATGAGTCCCAGGAGCAACACGACCCTGAGTACAGTGACAAAATAGCTGAGGCCCTGACAAGTCTGCAGCAGCAACTGAATGTAAGTACCAACTTCTACAATCTGTATTATCTGATCAGCAACAAAAACTCAGAAGTACTGTTTTTAGCAGTTTTGCTGTAGCTTTGTTTGGTTAAAAAGGATTTGTTGAAATTGGTTAACATTACTCTGTAACAAACACTAAGGTGCACAATTAAAAATGTTCCCCCGCCCATTCTTGTTTTTGTTACAGATCAGGGACGGGGACTTGGTTTGCGTGCGAGTGTTGGTTGGAAAATGCCTGGTTGAATATGCCAACACCAGGTGCTCCAGGCCTAACGGCCAGAGGCTTCGCTGGACTATTTCGGGAAGAACTGCACGTCAGCTGAAGCCTAGCTACTACAAGATCACCCACCTTCCCACCATTCCTGAGTCAGCTTGTTAAACCTGCGGGCACGAACGGGTGACCTTACATGTGGGGGGGTAATTACAACCCCCCCCCCCAAATGAGGTCACCCACGTACAGCCACTATTATTTTCCTTACAGATTTTCATCTATGATGATGAATTTCTTTAGGGAAAAGCTACAAATATAACTTTTACATTTTTGTTTGTCCTTTTACATTGAAAAAGCGCACTGTATTTTATCTGCCCCAACGACAATGAGTAATGATTTGTCAGAAAGGTTCTGCCATCCTGCTAAGTTTTACTTTCATGGTTGAGTTGCTTGCACAAGTGTACAGTATGTTCTTGATAAAATCTGTACCAGGTTGTTTTGCTATTTCCTGGAACGGGTTGCTGGTTTTAAGCAAAAATAAGTATAGAACCACCTAGGTCCTCAGTCCACCATGTGGAAGAGGAGGGAGAAGGATTTTGTGAACAGCAAAAATGGAACCAAGTTATCGGGCCCAAAATCCTTAACTCCTACCCTAGGTTGATGAACTGTCCTGATTGCACACTCCTACCCAAGGTGATGATTTTTTGTTTTTATTTTGATACGGCGAGGGAGCTCTGGTTAAGTCCAGTGAAGTGAGGCTATTGACAATATGACCGTCATGTATGGCTGACCATACTCTTTGAGCTGAGATGCCCATGGTAACAGATGCGTTGTTTCACCAATTCTTAATTAGTGTACACAGAGTGAAGTACCACCTTAATTGATTTCAGTTGTCAATTATGCAAAGAACACTGAAAAAAAAGTTTGTTGCAGTGGAAATGTGGGTTGGAATTTGTATTGCATTTTCTTTGCCTGTTTCCCTGTCGAGTAGAGGTTTCTTTTAGTGACAAAAATAAAATGTGTTCTCAAATTCAAAATGGCTAATTGAATACACCATCTTGTTAACCTTAAAGTTGTACCTTTCAATAAAGTTTTTATTGAAAAGCTAATGCTTGTCCATTGTTGTCTCATTATTAAAACACATATCACAGGTTTAATACAACCAAATAGAACAACTTTTCATTAACCATAGTTCAGCCTGCATGAGCCTTGAACTGGCCAAATCAGGTCTCAACAAGTCAGTTGCAGTGAAAACTCTGTCCAACAATTCAGTCTTTTATCACACCCACTGTTTGTAAAATCCTTTTCATTGCCATCACAGGAATGTCATTCTTCCAATGTTCCTCAGCATGCCATGGCTGTCCTCGGTAGTGTTCATTAGGCAGCGGTGACATCTGCAGCTTGTCAGTTTTTTTTCATGATCACTTCTGTAAACTGGAAAAGTCTGGACCCCCTCCAGCGAAGTTCCCAGATATCTCTGCACCGCTGAAGTCAAATCCAGGATTCTAGCAAAGAGGAGTGCAATTTATAAGCAGGATTGCCACATATCAACATTCAATTTAAACCTAATATAAATGCGTATCTTTTTTTCTCCACCTGTGAATATTTGTGAAAGAGTAAATGGACAAAAATAAATCTCCCTCATCTAAAACAATCCTAAACCACACCAGTTAAAGCTTTGATAGGCAACATTGTATAAGTGAAACACAGTAAACTATACTTTCAAAATGATCAGGAACACTGTTGCCAACTATTTTACGAAGAAAGCCAGGTGTAGAGGGTGACAGCTGTGCATCTGATAACTTGCAAATTGGCAACGTACACCATGATCGTTGGCACTTTAATTAAACTAACCTCCCGCTGGAACCTCTCCAGTGTGAGCTTCCTCTGCATCTGGTCCTGGACCCAGGCGTTCGCACAGTACTCCCCCTCCAGCAGGGAGGCCCAGCAGTTCCCGGCCTCTCGGTTAGTCTTCATCAGAATGATCCGAATGAGACACTTGTCCTCTGAGCAGACAAGAAAGGTAAAATAGAGTGAGATTAGGTTGGCTTTGTTAAGTCCATGTTAATGAGTATGTTACATAAAGTAATCAAACCTACCAAGTGTCCATGTAGCCTCGTCAGACATGGTTGTATCAAACAACTTTCCCTAATAAAAAAGGAAAAGATTATGAAAATTGATTGGTTAACTACTCACAAATGTCCTGCCGCTTAGCCTATCACGTACAAAGTGTTGGAGCGCCAGCCAATAGAAGCTTGAGTGTTACATATTGATGTCACTTTGTTGTGGATGTAAACAAACATTTCCAATGGAGGCTTTTCAGGCAAATAGAACAAGTGAAATGAGGATAACAGTGTCGGTAGCTTACAGGTTGCAAACAGGCTCTGCAGTGCCTGATCAAACACTAAAGGCCAATTTAAACTTTCTGCAAGGGTCTCTGCTTTTTCAATTGAAAGGTGCATTGAAAATAAGTCTGGATTTGGCCATTGGCACTTTTTTCAACTTTAGGGATCAAGATAGGGATCTAGACGTCTCTACTGCGCATGCTCCAGTTGCTCCACACTCAAATCCAGTCCAGCTGGTGGCGTGTTTTGCTTACACAAGTTAACACAAGTAATGGTTGTTTTGCAAATAGTTTTTTGGTGAGAAGATAGTTGAAAAATAAAGTTGACATTGAGTCATTCAAACGGCAGTTTAATGGCGGTCTCTAAATAAGACCCTGTAGTTAAAAAGTGAGGGCTCAGATATGTGAGCTAAGCGACAATGAAATTAAGTGCAAATACCTTGGTAATACTCAACCTTAAATTAACTTTACTGCGGTAAGATAACATTAATGAGTCCAACATCTTCTCCATTTACCATTCTTCCTCTTAGAAGTAGATTGATAGGGAGCTTACCTTGAAAACTTCCTCCCCTTTGACATGCAGCTCGATGTCTCGGGATCCTAAATGACACTTGACCTCTTTCCCAGACGTCCCATGAGGCACATTGACTTCGATGAAAACCTCCTCCATGGTCTGGTACCAGGAGCCCCAGGGAGTTTTGCAGGGGACAACACCGCTCCTCTCCTCGAAGTGCGCCGACATGCTGCAGCTTCAGCCCGTCTGACAAGGCGGCTACCCTCCGCTGAATAACTTACACAGGTGTGCTATGTAAGAGTTTGCTACGCAGATACTCTCTATCACGCTTTACTTAACGACTGCTTCACGGGACTGTTGTTAAAAACATCTCAGTTAAAGTAGGTTTTAGTATTTATGTAGGCATGTTGCCATGTTCACACTCTGGAAACTTCTTCTTCTCTCAGTAAGGAGTTCCGGTTGTGAAAAAACATTTTAGTGCCATCTGCTGTGTGATCATATCAACTACAACAGATTTATTTTTAGAAACATGTTAGTGCTGTTGTATACACATTACACATATTTTAAAATTGATGAGTTGCATTGAATTTAGTTCTCTATTTTAGTTTTAATTATTTTTTATTAATCTTTAAATAAAACCAATACAACTCACTGTTTGTCTAAAAAAGGAGTGGACTTCCTAATCTTTTAATTAGATTACTGTTCCAGACTTAGTGTCTCCCCGGTGTCCTTATGTATACCTACCAGTCACTTTAACAACACCGACAAGGTCTCTAGCTTGTTGTTTTTTTATTCCCTTCCCATACGATTTTATTTAGTATGAGTGGCTCCTAAGGTTGACTGCACATTTGGTTAAAAATGCTGCCTAGGATGGCCTTCCTGACAGTTACTTTGGTTACTTTTGTCTGCTGGATAAGGTAAGTCTTCCCTCTCAGCTTGGACGTAGATCAGAGTACAATCTGCCTGCAGGTGTAACCATTTTTTCCCTCTGCAGCCTTGGAACTGTACATGGAACTGGGAAGGTCTTCTCTGACAACATCACTCTCATTTTGGATCGACTTTTGGATGGTTATGACAACAGACTGCGACCTGGATCCGGGGGTAATTCAGACTTCACCTCTTAGACTTGGGTCTAATTGAGCTTGAATATCTTTGTGCATCTTGTATTACTGTAGGCAATGTACAGTTGTTAATTACTGTTGCAGGTGGTGTTACGGAGGTGAAAACTGACTTCTTTGTCACCAGCTTTGGACCTGTTTCGGATGTTGACATGGTGAGATACTGCTGCTGTAAGGAGATGTATATTATGTGCTGACTGTGGGAGATAACAGTGCTTGAGTGACTACTGAACTCCAGCCTTATGGCAATCTGCCATAAGACCATCTAATGAGCTTTAATCTGTTTGACCAGCCCTATAACTCCATTATTGATGGCCTCTAAATCAATATGACAACATGTCAGAGAGAGGGAATGGCTGAATGGATTGATTAATGATTATCTGGGATGAGTGTCATCCATCATTTCCTCGTCATTTCTCCACAACTTCCACTACAAGTTGGATACTGATGAACAGCAGAGGCAATTTCTTAGGTTAAAGAAATAATTTTTGATGTGATGGTTTGTCTTTAACATCCGCTGATGTTTTATGTTCATGCATCAGGATTACACCATGGACATGTTCTTCCGTCAGATGTGGGTTGATGAGCGGCTACAATTCGAGGGCCCGACTGAAATCCTGCGGCTGAACAACCGCATGTTGGACAAGATCTGGACGCCAGACACTTTTTTCAGAAACTCCAAGAAGGCCATTTCCCATAACACAACCACACCTAACAAACTCTTCCGCATCATGCAGAACGGGACTGTCCTCTACACCATGAGGTGATCCTACAATTAACACTAATTGTTTTGTTGATAAAATCTTATGTGAATAAGAGATTTATATTAAAAGAGAGGATCTGTCTGTGTGTTCTCTTAGACTGACAATCCATGCTGACTGTCCAATGAGTCTGCTGAACTTCCCCATGGACGGCCATTCCTGTCCTCTCCGGTTTGGAAGCTGTAAGTATAGATCTTCAACCAATGGTCAATAAATAAAAAGGATTTGCAACCTTTTCTGATAAGTGACTAATACATTTTTCTGGCAAAAACCTCCTGTGGTCAGTCCTTAAAATTGTTCCTGCTTTTCTATGTTTTATTTCATATTAAACTTAAAATCATTGTGGTCACAGAAAAAGTTACTTGAAAAACTAGGACGGACATTTCTTACTATTTTCGGACTTTTTTCAAACCGAAGGTTAAATTGAAAAATCTATAAGGTAATCAGGATTAATCAACATGCAAATGATAATTGTAAGTTGCAACCCCATTTAAGTTAAACAGATGTGTTCATTAATGTGTTATTAGGAATAACAGAGAGATTCATGAATGTGTTTAACCTATGAGTTTATTGTAATTGCTTTTGCGTTTTAAGATGCCTACACGAGCAGTGAAATCCATTTCACTTGGAGGAAAGGACTAGCATCTGTTGATTGTCCCGCTGAGTCCATGAGTCTCCTGCAGTACGATCTCGTGGGGCAGACTTTGTCCAGTGAGATATTCAAAGCAAACACAGGTAATGCTTTCTGTCTGCTATCACATTTCTCTTCCTAATTGCACTTAGATGTTTAATTTAATAATTTAAAGAAAGGAAGAGGTCAGATCAGTTTATTTAAACTCTGCACGAGAGTCCATCGCTCCCCCACATTAGCCGATATAAAAGCAAAGACTTCCTTGAGAAGCCATCAGGTGTAAGATGCTTAAGTGGTCAGTCCTAAAGCGTATGGTGTGCCTTAAAAAAGAACTATGGGGTTTTAAAACTCAGGGAATGTACCGAGAGAGGAGAAAATGGAGCAGTGTGTGCCTGTGTGTGTTTGTGTGCGGGTGTGCATTTAATTTCACCAGAAGAGGAAGTGAGAGGGAAGGCTGAGGCATTCTCCAAAACCAAGAAACCTTATCCATTTAGAAAACAGAGCGAGAGGGAACCTCTGTATGTGTGCATGATGCAGCGTGTTTTTAGTCTGTGAATGTCAGCATGCATGTGTTTGGACAGAGCAGGGCAGTGTGTTACGCATAGTGACACTGCATGCTCTCCTCCCGCCCCCCTCCTCACTCGCCCCTTCCTCTTGACTTTATCCCATTTCCAAATGTCTGCTATGCTCCCCCCTCCTACCCTACTCCTTTTCGTCCTCCCTCTCCTTTCCTCCCCTGTCTCTCTCACATGATGTTTTACAAATAGTGGGCTATTCCACCTCTTACAGCAGCCAATATATCTATATGTTTCTTTCAGCAGCTGTTCTGTTTCAAGGGCAGTCAAGGGCAAACGTTCTGTGCTGCTACCTGGCTCTCTCCCTCAGGGTTTCTCTCTTCACACGTGCTGTTTATGTTTCAGGTCACTACTCTGTGCAGGTGGTCCATTTCAGACTCCAGAGGAAGCTGGGCTACTACCTCATACAGACATACATCCCTCTTATAATGGTTGTTGTGCTCTCCCAAGTCTCTTTTTGGATCAACAAAGAGTCTGTTCCTGCACGCACAGTTGCTGGTACGCCACGATACCCAACAATTATTTATATTAATCATAGTTTATGTTTGAATACCTCTCCTCCATGAGTGTTTCATAAGTGATTGTGTTCCTCCAGGAATCACCACAGTGCTGACCATGACCACCTTGAGCATCAGCGCCCGACAGTCGCTTCCCAAAGTAGCCTATGCCACCGCCATGGACTGGTTCATTGCTGTGTGTTTTGCCTTTGTGGCGTCGGCTCTTATTGAGTTTGCAGCGGTAAACTACTTGGCCACGCTTCAGGCCAACCGTCTGAAGAAACAGAAACGTAGACAAGACAAGCTTGAAGTGTTGGCCACCGGTGAGGATGATGACGAATCCATTATGGTAAGAAGCTGACTTTAAGTTGCTGTCATCATAAAATGACATTGCTTACGATTCACATTCAATTATACAGTATATGTGTTGCCGTTTTAATTCAGATGTTATACGGTGTAACAAGGAAATGTGGCATATTTTGATTTTAAGCACCCTAAAAACATGTTTTTCAATCTTCAGTATGTCTCTATTAGTAACATTAGAGGGAAGTTTAGCAATCAAAATCTCACCAAATATCCTTCCTCTGACTGTGTGGATGTGTTTGAATCATAGTTTATCTGACCCTTCTGCAACATGATGAATAAACACTCCCCCCATTAAGATTAAAATGCAGCAAAACTTTGATTGCGGCACGGAAGTATGTCACGTCATGTTTTTTCCAACAGAGCAGCACATATCAAACCATTGAAAAAATAGCACAGACACAAGAATATATAAATGTGTATGATGTGATATAACCAAAAGTGTTGTTACTTTTTTATTGTCACTGCAGGACACCATTTTTAACAATTGGACAATAATCAACAAAAAAGGTCTTCAGGGTCTTTACGAGTAAGAACTTGTGTTGTGCGTGAGCCAATAGAGCGCGGGTGTTACGTAGTGATGTCACTAAGTTAGGAAAATAAACAAAGGATTCCAATGGAGGTGTTTCAGGCAGGACGAAGTGTGTGTGTGAGAGAGAGAAACTTCTCTGGAGAACTTTGGGACTTTAGCCTTTGCAGACCATTTACAAGCACACAAACCTATAACACACTACAGGAAAGGGAAAACACAAAAAGCATAAAAGGGCCTCTTTAATGCTAAGCTAAGCTAACCAGCTTGGCCCTGGTAACACATTTAGCGTAGTAGACAAAGGCTTTTTAAGCTTACCAATAAGGGTTTTTCCTTTAATTCTTATCGTTACAATTTACACATTTCTATTTTTGAGAATCTGATTGTCTGCAGTAATAGGAAGTTAGGAAACAATTATTCAGATGGGTTTGTGGTTACGTACATACTGTATATACAGGGATCAATATATATCTTAACACCAAGATCTTCTCACATAAGAAGCGATTAACTGACAGTAGGTTTTGTCTCTTGTATGAAAGAAAACTGCTCGGCAACATCAGCTTATGCTATTACTTGAAGAGGGACTGCGATATCACGTGGCATCTGAAATGCATTTACATAGCTAATAATGGTAAGTGGAGGTACAGAGTCTCCTCGTTTTTGCAGAGAGCTTGATGCAGCAATGTTGATAATGAACAGGAAGCCAGCAGCTCCAGACTCAGATGTAGAGAAATGAAAAAAAGCCACAGATACGAGGTTTTTTTTCTATGCATTTCCAAGTAGTTGCCCTGCTTCTTCCATTTTCCTCATTCAGGGCACACCACACATTAAATAGTAATACATGCTGTTGTAGGGCTCTCATCTCTAGCTATATGCTTTATGCTAATACAGTAAGCCACCACAGCGTCCTCCTGGGATCTGTCTCACGTGTAGGGCTCATGGTTAGATGCTTTAAAAATAGCCTCAGTGTGAAAACAGAGAAAAACTCCAGCACTCCTCCCTGCATAATCTCCTAACCATCCTATGGGCATCCAGCTAACTACCTGCTGCTTTCTATAGGGATGTTGGCATGCCATTGAGAGAAAGTTCCTGTGGGAACCAACATATCTCCCAACCTTACAGTATATACAAGACTCCAGCATGGCAAAATCACCATGTACTTGCTGGCTGGAAATTCCCAGTTTAAAAATTAATGTTACACTACCTACACCTTTTCCTCTCACTGAACAGATAACCCACACAAGCCCCACTAACATCTCCTCACTTCCTGCTTTTCCTCCAAATCGCCCCCTACCTCCATCCCAACAGTCGGACGGCTGTCAGGAAGGCCTGAAGAGGAGAAACCACTCTGTGTGTCGCAGTGAGCCAGGAGATGGTCCGCCCGTGCCCATTTTCCTCCAGCAGGGCTCAGCTTTTCCTCCAATCCCGCAGCTGGCTGGCACAAGCCCCATCGACAAGTGGTCACGCATCCTCTTCCCCCTGGCCTTCGCCCTCTTCAACCTCGTCTACTGGTACAACTACCTGGGCAAAGACACCATGGAGGAGGCCAGGTACTCTAATATTTTGGTACATTTATGTGTCTTTGCTAAAAGGATATATTAGATATATTTTTCATCTTTGCAAACCCACATCCAATGATATGTTCATCGTACTGACAAGAGGTTTATGTGTCAAACACACGTACTGTCCTGATGTCATTAATACTCACTCAAATGGGTTTTAATCTGAACCTGAAAAAATACACCCCAACAATGCCCTAGTTTTGTGCCATGGTGTTTGACATTGTATCTTTTATACTTTAGCTGTTGTTAGTAATGGAGATTACAGGAAGTTAGCCGAGACTGTTTTAAGTTGTAACCTCATATAAGTGGTTTAATGTGATAAGTAAGACAGCCTATTATGGTCATTGTAGGTGAAAAAATATATATATATATATTGAAATGGGGTATATCATGGGGGACAAACTAATTTCCAAGATTTGTTTTAAAGGAAAAAAGGAACGCTCATAGCCAGTTTACCTTTAACCCTTTAAATCTGGTGTTAAAAAAAAGTAATAGATTCAGAAAGCCTTTAATGCAAAATAGTAAAACAAAACATCAGAAACGTAATTGGAAGGTATCCAGCTTTCTTGTACAAATAGGGACAACGGACAAAGGATATCTCTGCATACTTACTTTGTATCTGAAAGACTTACAGCCCTGTCTCACTCTGCTCTAATTATGATAGCTTTAGTAGAACAATAACTACCCACAGTTTTTGTCAAAAACTTTTATCTTCTAGGCAGTAAAGACATCAATAATTTCTAATGCTGAAGCAGCCCCGGGAGTAGTAGGGGAAAAAAAAGAAGGGAATGATGTTAGGTGGCGTTGTTGCTGCTTCGTTGCCAGCACTGTGGCTTTTATCATCGTAGATTTACAATATAAAAAGGACTGGGCGCTGAGTTAACTTGAGAAGAAAAATATGCATCAAGCTCCCCTCTTTTATATAAGGTTGACCTGAGGGCTGGCAAAATTCCAGCCGTTTTAATGACAACACTGTTTCTCCATGGGGAGCAGGTCTCGCAGGCGAAGAAACCAGGGCCTACTTTGTATATTAAGTACATGAAAAAGCGACTATTCACTTTCCCGCTTATAAGTGAGCCACTTATAGAACACAAAGCTCCATGTCCGAGAAAGAAGAGAGATACAGTGAAAAACACAGAGAACGGGAGAAATAGGGAGAGAGAGAGAGAGAGAGAGAGAGAGAGAGAGAGAGATCTGTTATGCAACACTGGGGAGTGCAAATCTACTCATCATGCTTCTCATGTTCCTGTCAGAGAATTGTTATGGTTGTTTTGTTTATAACGTTCTGCAGAATAATGAGAAAGACAAGATGGAGAGCATGAGACCAGCTGCATCACATCCATTCCCTTATCACATTTTCTCCACGTCCCTCTCTCGGTTCTTTTGAAGAAAGGACAGGGAGCACAGTAACGGTTTTGGCTGTATAGCACACTGCAGATGGAGAGTGTCTGAATGTGGGAAGAGAAAGCTTTTTATATGCCACTCTCACTTTTTCTGCTCTGCTGTATTCTGGTCTTGCAGGGATGCCTGATCTCCAAAACTAAGAGGACCTGGAAAAGGGCATGGGCTGCCAGAGAGACCTTCAGCATCCAGCCAGCCTCACCTCCCTCCCCTCTCTTTCTGTCTCTCTCTCTCTGTGAACAAGCTCTCAGCAGTCACTCTGCTCTCATCTGACAGAGGAAATGAATCAGAAACTCATTTATTCTCCTGCCGCACATCTATTCATTTCACAGGCTGTGACCACTGCCCACTTGTGTTCTGATCAGTAGCTGAAGAGCTGCCCTTCACAGGGCCTCAATCACTTTAAAGCCCGCCACACGTACACACAACAACTTCTCGGGCCCCTGGACCGAGACAGACGCCACACGTACAGCACACATGACACTCAGACACACGCACAGAGCATGAAACACATCAAAAAGAAGTGCATGATATAATCTATGATGGCTGTAACTGGTGGTGATGCAACAGTGAACCAATGCTTTCAGAAGCCTGCCCTCTACAGAAGCACAGCTCCCACTACAACAAGATCAAAGGCAATTTAGAGGAGGCTCGCATCCCTTCCCGCGGCTTCAAAAATGTACTCAAACCTGAGAAAATGAATTGTGGGATTGTGTTTTCCATCCCACCTTTCTGCTCTGGTGCTCCCTCTGCATTTTCAGATCTGCGGGTCCTCTGAAAACATTGCAAGGAAGAGTAGGATATAATACCCGTGGGTGTGGATGACATTAATTTTCTATTTTTGTATGGACGCTGCATGATTGTGGAGTGCAGATGTTTGCATATAAAGTGTCTACCTGCAATGGAGGGATTTTTATTATCTTTTTAGCTACATATCCAATACCATAAAAGCTTAAGGAATAAACTTGATCTTAAGTTGACATTTTGACCACTCAAATCCTCCAGTATATCCCATTGTTTGACCTTGTCAGAATGTAGACCAACTCATTTGCCATGTAATAAACATGGGAATAAAACCATCCTGAAAATAACACCACTGTTGTTCATTTCTTTCTGGCACAAATGTTCGATTCCTCATTACGCACAACCACTTGTCCCTTTAATATTTTTCTCTGCAATGGAAACTGCTCATCCACCATCATCAGTCTCCACTCTTTGATCTTGGGCTTGCTGCACGCATGCGCCTCTCATTGGCTCCTCTGCACTGTCTGGAGTAAGTTGGATGTGCGCTCTCCTCACTCGCATCCCGAAACCGCCTCAATACTGTTGCGATGGGGAGGATCAGGAAAAACCACTTTGGGATTTTGACTTTCTCTTTACTAGTGACTTTTGTCTGGACTCAAAGGTAATCTTATTTCCTTATTTTCTCGATCATCTGTCTCGCATGCCATGTAGCCTGTGTTAAAGCGTGCCTGGCGTGAGATATTAACAAGCTGTTTTGCATTACACCACCTTTTTTCTCCCACAGCTCCAAAGATCTCAAAGATCCGAGCAATATGCCCCTGGTAAAAGAAACAGTGGACAGACTGATGAAAGGATACGATATTCGGTTGAGGCCAGATTTCGGAGGTAACGAGCAAATTTGCAAAAGGAATGTAATGTTTTCACGCCCTCCTGACGTGCAATACATGTTTAATGAATCGCAAAATCTGCTTTAATTTACGTAATCACCCATTCACAGCCAATAGGCCTTTCCAATTAACGCTATGAGAAATTATGTGCATATTTCATTTGATGGGGGAGATAAGACAGGCTTTTTTAACATGATCGTTCCCGCTCATCAATGTTTGATAATCCTACTCGGCTAATTGAATATAAAATGTAACCGCATTTCATCTGCGTGTTAAACATGAAGGTTTTTTCACCCAGCCTGGTGATGCTCCAGTCTCCTGTAGGTGGAGGGGAGCATAGAGGAACCTGAGCGCGCGTCACGAATTTGTTAAATTTACATGATGGGAGATGCATTCATTTATCTTGTATTAAAGCTTTCTTTTCCTTCACAGGTGCACCGGTCAAGGTGGGGATGAATATAGACATAGCCAGTATAGACATGGTCTCGGAAGTCAACATGGTAGGTGCATCTTCATGATTATTACACCGCTTAATGTTGCCAATTGAGCCCGGCACGGCTGGAATAGCCCTTAAGTGGGTTGCTTATCACGGGTCAGTGCGTGTGTGATTGTGAAGCCAGGATAATGTGAGGCAGATTGTGAATGCATTTTTTTTTCTCGGGTGCAAAAATATTTGTGAAGGCTTCCGCTCTTAAACACATCATGGCCATCCTTCTCTCTCAGTCTCCGCATTTGCAGCTCTGGTGTGTTGCTGCATTTGAATTCAAAACACACACTCACTGGCGCACTCGGACGCACAGCCCCGGCTGCGCGCGCGGAGAGCTGCATGTATGTATCAGTGTGTGTGATAGTGTGTGATTGTGTGTGCTCCTGACTGCTTCACGTTGTCAAGCTTCGGTGGTGTAATTTTGTTGACACGTCCCCCCCCTCCACCCCCTTCTTACCCATCCTCTCTCCTCTCCATGCAGTTACCTACAAAATGAATCAAAACACCCTTTCTTCTAAAAAATTGGCATCATTTGGTGTTTTTAAGGTGCAAAAAAAATGCATCTCTGGTGTGTTGCTGCATTTGAATTCGATTGGCCAATCACATCATCAGCATCTACGTAAATGATTTCCCCCCTTACTTGTCAGATGACGTAAGCAATTTGTTAATAATAAATGTCTGGTAACACAGCATTGCAACCAAAAAAAAAAGAGAACGGCTTGAGCTTCGCTGCACACGGATGCACGTTATGAGCGACTTGGAGAGGACAGGGGGAAAAGTTCAGCAGCCCGTGCAAGAGCACCACCTATTGATCCCTGTGACAGGCTGACAGACAGACAGCAACCCACAGGAATCTGACGTTGATTTTATCTTCTTTAGTGTAGCTCTCCTGCATTAAATACACCATATTTATAGTGTAGAATAGCTGGTTTTGCTCTTGGGATTTGTTATGCATTGACTAAAAATATTAAGGGCAGTCTTTGCAGAGGATTCAGAGTGTGAGAAGAGATCATTTACAAAGCAGCCTCTCCATGGAGCAACATAATAGAGATGTTATATAAGAGCATGAAAAACAAGTTTGCCAGCAGGAGTGGAAGGAGATGTGTTCTCTATTATTAATTGAGCCATTTTTAAAGTTTGATTTGGCAGCCTGTCCCTATGTGTGTGGTAATTTTAAACTGCACTGAATGAGTTTTGAAGCACATGAATACAGCAGCGTGTGTGAGTTTGTTTGAGGGAAAGCACTGAATCTGGTCAGAGCTTTTTCCTTTGATGGAAATGATTTATTTTGAGGGAGGATGCAACCAGAACGGAAGTGCCTTGGGGGTCCGGAGAGATTTGAAATAGAAACCCCTCACTCGCTTTGGCCTCCCTCTTTCTCCCTCTCCCTCCTCCATCCTTTGCCTCCCACCACTTTGACTAGATTCCTGGCTGTGACTCTGGGCTCAGCAGCCATGTAATCCACCTCTGCCTTGCTCCAAAGGGTTATCTTACTTAAGAACTAGGCATCTAGTGAGCATTCATCTGGAAAAAAAGACTGCTTCATACTATCGTGTAACAAAACACAAAACTGTGCACAAACAGTGAATGGCGGCTGACGTCATGCAACTCCCTGTCGCTATGAGAGAGCGCTCACCTCGTTCATTTATCAGAAAAGCTCTCAGCGCCAGATCTGCACAGGCACCCCTCTCACATGGCAGACACATTTAAATAAAGTGAAATAAAAACAACACCAAAGTCTTCAACACGTTTTTGTCATCCTCTAAAACATCCTTACATAACAGGTTGGATTCTCCTCCTCCTCCTCCTCCTTTCTTAACATCCAGATATATTTGGTACAATAGAGGATAATGGCAGCTGACGAGATTGATCTCAGGGAAATCGATAATATCACCGAGCACCGTGATCACGAGGATGGAGGTGGTGACCTGCGCTTGGCGCCGGGCTGCTTTGATCTTCCTCATCAGGGGCAGCCGCTTTTAAGATTAAAGTGCTGAGAGGGAAAACAACACTGAGAGGCGAGGATGAAGCCAGGAAGGCAGTGAAGAACAGGGTGGGAGAGAGGTGAAGGTTTTTATGATCATTTTCACCATCGCCTTTAATGATACCTACATCCCCGGTGGAGGCCAGGGAAAAGTTATGGCCGACCTTGTGTTAGCACAAGAGAGCTGCAGCCAGAGTTTCATTAACCCCCCGACATACACATTCCCTTTTGACTAATTAAGTCGCTCTAAGGGACGAAACACCGTCTTCTTCCACACTTTATGCCTCCATCAGATATTTCTTTAGCAGCTTGCTCCAGCTCCTCGTTGAAGCTTCATTCATCAAATGGATATTTGTCAAATTGTTGTCTGACATATCTGATATATTTGAAGTTTGGTACTATCCCGTGAATCGGTTCTATTTCAAAATGTAATGGCTTCTTCCTTGTTCCATGCTACACAGCATGTGTTTGCAATGATTAGAAGTCTGGCCTTTCAGACCGCTATGAGTGGTCAAACAACAACAACAACAACAACAACAACAAACTCGGTCTGAAAGTTATCTACACTAATTATTATTTGATCAATTGATTTGTCTAACAAATGTTGGCAAAAAGTAAGAGGGAGAAATGTCATTTAAAGAAAATTAAAACCTTTTAGGATCACACTACGCCAGTTACGCTGAATTTTGCACCGACAAAACATGAAGTAAGATGGAGTCGTTTGATGTTAGAAATGAAAGCATGTGATTGGGTTTGAACACAGTGTTTGTGAGCAGGCCTGCCATCATGGCGGTGAGCAGGTTTGGGTTGTAGACAGCTGCTCTCTCCTCTAATTAAAGATCAAAAAGCCTCTGGTGGAGGATGAACTCTGCATTTTAGTGGGGGCTGATTGAAGCCATTGTGGCGTCCTCTATGCTGACATGAGGGCGTGGATGCTAGTGGAGGTGGTGTTGAATGTGTGTTGGGATTTTGGTGTTGTTGCTTCTCTGTGCACATGTAAGAGGTTGGTTCACATGTGTACGTGCCATAGTGGAGTGTCTTTGTTGGAGCTTTCTCTTGTGATCCACAACGATGGCCAGTTGAGGCTCAAAGGTCAGCCGTGTTGTTGGGCAATAAAAATGTGCAGGTCAGTCAGCGCCGTGGTCTCAGCCTCGGCTGCATGACATTACAAATGTGCTATTTCGAGAGGGAAGCGTCCTCCGAGTCCGAGGTGTGACCACACATCCTTGTTGGGTGGGCTGTGCTGACTCACTAGGGTTAGTGCAAAAATATGGCACAGATATGATATCATGGCCGAGACCCCCCCTCAGCATCCACCCGCTGCTTATCTCTGTCTGTCTGTCTGTTCAGCGCTGGCATCCCGCTCCATCACTCATCTCCCTCACTTAGCAGCAGAAATTGCATTTGCATAATGCTGTTTGTTTTCGCTGAAATCACAGATCCAGGAACCGAACCCTGGTTACGGTGCATTAAAAAGTGTTCTGCACACAGCCAGGGCAGCTGATTAAATACAAGTCGGGTCTGTTGTCTCAGCAATGCATCAGCGCTGCATAATAACGTCTTCAGCATGCCATCCAGATATGTTGAGCACAGCTATGCACTCCGAAGATGGAATAAGGAGGGAGGCGAATAAGTATGTTCACTCCTCGTCTTTTCTTCATCCTGCTTGTTATTTACATGTGAAATACCTGAGGTTGATGGTTGTTAAGAGGAACTGCCTGTACTATAATACTGTTCTCTGAATGTTAATTAGCTGGATGTGAATTAAAAGATTTAAACAAACCAGCTGTGGTGGCTTCTGGGATGGAGGAATTAGTGGGGCGTGAGCGTTGCCTTTATTACGATCATTATCCTGACAGGCGCTGGTTTCTTTACATGAGTAAGGGATCGGGGCGTCAGACATGGGGCGAGCCGATGACCAGAGGGAGCCGGACCCTGGCCCCCACGTTACTCTGCGTCCATGTGAAGG